ATCCGTCGTTCATCTCGCAAAAGAACGTTACCTCATGCTAATGCTGCCGAATTTCCCCTCGCACATTTAATTTATTTGAAGATACTTTTGGTAATTCCTAACTGAAAATTTCACTGATTTTTCCTTGGATCTCAAGCAAAGAGCAGAAGGATGATCAATTTTTTTGTATAAACTTATATTTCAACCCTGCAGTATTATCGGGGTTTCTACCTCTGGGAAATCTAAAAAACTTGGTGATCCGAAGGAACGCGGAAACGTGGGAATTAAAGCAATTCGTTAATTTCTCTTATAAATGAGAAACTGAGAAAGAAAACAATATTCATAACTCATGATCATCCTTTGCAGATGCCAGTCATTTCAAATGTCTGCAATGCATCGTTTCCCGTACAAAGGAACGTACCTTAATCCCAAGGCTGCAACACAGACCCAAAAGAATTAAGTTTTTTACAAGAATACATATGCGCTATTTCGTCCTAAATTTTTCCGCTCTTTGCTTGAGATCCAAGGAAAAATCAGTGAAATTTTCAGTTAGGAATTACCAAAAGTGTCTTCAAATAAATTAAATGTGCGAGGGGAAATTTGGCAAAATTACCATGAGGTAACGTTCTTTCGTGAGAGGAACGACGGATTGAGGCCTATTTAGTCACAGTGCACCGAATAGAAAAGGAGAGAAACTTAAAACTCTTCATTAATTGCAGCTTTCAAAGAAACCTGCGCGATGCAACGGTGGCGCGCCTTCATCTCCGTGTGATACCTCCCCACATTGCCGCGGAGTTGATTTAGTTGCGTGACCTAACCTAACCTAACTCGAGGCTTCAGTGGCAGCTGCATGCAGCTGTTACTACAGATTTGAATCGGATTTGGAGCATTAATTGACGTGAATCAGTACCCAAAGTTAACGAACATCTCGATACGTAACATATTCTGCTGCATTACTAGTTTCTTTTTCGATGTTCCGTTAAGAACAAAAATGTAACGTCTTGAAGCGTAGATCAATTCAATATTACCATAACAGCCGTGAATCTACTTATGCTTTATGTTAAAAAAAAATCCATATCTCTATTGCAACATCGCCAGGTCTCTGTTCCTCCCCCCACCCCACCCCCTTTACGAGAAGCCTAGTAAAATAGTGTAGTAGAAATGTGTTCGCGATCACAATAGCAGTGAGAAATCACATTGATTTTCTGATTGAAAGCAGCAGTTGCTGTCATCTTCGAATAGCGTCTGCTCTCTTTCTTTATTTTTCGCACCAAGAAACGAGCGCATTTTAAACTAGAAAAGAGAAGAAGAAAAATGGTGACCGAGGATTGAGTACATACTGAGAACAGAATTTTTAAATCACAGAGTAATGCAGCTCTCGCGGTGACAACATTAACATAAAATGCTTCAACCCTAAATGGCCCCTCCCCTTTGCCACTTGACTGCTGTACTCCTTGAAATTATCGCTGCATATATTGAAATTAGAGGAGCATGAATTCCAAGAAAAACTTACAGTTTATTTTTTATTATGAAATTACGCACGAATGGAGATTTGCAACGTCGAATCAGAATAGCGCATATGTCGACTTCAACCATCAATTTGCTGTTTGCACACAGTGCATAGCTTTGTACAGTATGCTGAAGAGAAAATGAGAGAAACTTATAACTCTTCGTTAATTGCAGCTTGCAGCTTTCAAAGAAACCTGCGCGATGCAACGGTGGTGCGCCTTCATCTCCGTGTGATACCTCCCCGCATTGCCGCGGAGTTGGTTTAGTTGCGTGACCTAATCTAACCTAACTCGAGTCTTCAGTGTCAGCTTTTAAAGGAACCTGCGCGATGCAACAGTGGCGCGCCTTCATCTCCGTGTGATACCTCCCCGCATTACCGCGGAGTTGATTTAGTTGCGTGACCTAATCTAACCTAACTCGAGTCTTCCGTTGCAGCTGCACGCAGCCTTTATTACAGATTTGAATCGGATTTGGATCATTATTTGAAGTGGATCAATACCGGAGGTAAACAATCATCTGGATACTTAACATATTCTGCTGCATTATTAGTTTCTTTTTCGATTTTCTCTTAAGAGCGAGAATTTCACGTCTTCAAAGTGTTTTCCCCAATATTTCTGGACATATGCTTCAGAAACCGGGAATCTCTTCTGCTACCGCTCAGTTACAAGTTCGTTTTCAAAGTTTGGGGACATTTTAAGCACCTGTAGGTGTTATTATGGTTTAGATTGTTGCACCTGAGCCGCTATTATGGACCTCCTGAATTAATAATAGAGGAACTTTCAATGACCGGGTAATATAAACATCAGGAATACTTTTAGGATTAAAATGTTTGACTTGATTTCGTTTGAAGTTATGTTCTACTGTTTTGAACCAAACGATATATCGAACCACTATCGAATATGATCCATAGCATCCTTATTTGAAGCTAATTCAGCAAAAATGACGATGATAACCCGGGATTTGAGAAACGAACGGGGCGGCAAAGCTGCTCTTGACGAGTCGTAGTTTCCGACATGGGTCGGTCGCTAGAAAGCTGTGCGGCGGGCAGTGTCCCGCCGCCGCCACCAGTTCCACCGCGTGAACTCGCACACAAAAATGTAATCTGCGGCTCGATAAACGGTGGATTGGCGCGGCGGCGAGGCAACACTACGATTCGTCATTCGCTGGCGAGAATCAACTCGCCGGTCGTTGCTAGGGGCCTCCGAGAGCCGATGTTTTCGCGACGGATAATCTCGAAAACTGCGTCGCTTCCAGGGGTTCCAGCGGGGGCGTTCCCGTCCACGAGGCTTTCCTAATTTCCCTGGGAATTCCCCGAGGGATTTCAGACGCGCGGATGGACGAGTGAGTTTTGAACGCTCTATTTTTAGCCCACAGAACCTGTTCCCTCAACGGACGTTTCATTGTTTCCCGACGAAAGAACGTAACGCTATTCCAATATTGTAAATTTGACCCTAATCAACTCGAACAACTTTCAAGAACTAATCCTTTGTTTCTTAATCGGGAACTACGTGATTGACACTTACTTTCTTTTTCGCCCGATGAATTCATTTCATTCATTGAATTAAATTCATCGGGCGAAAAAGAAAGTAAGTGTCAATAACTTTCAAGAACTTGACTGCGCAATTTTTGTTCGAACTTCGGCAAATATTGAACTTTCAAGCGAAGTCCTTTAAAATTTTAACGAAACATTAAAAAATTGAAATGTAAGGCTATTCTTCATGAAATTAATAGAAGCTCTTGAAACTTCACTTAAAATTCCAAAGGCGATCTCTGGCGGAGACTTCGAAGGAGCACACGAATTCTGGACGAACTTTTCCGCAGCAGAGGATTTTTACAATCAAAGTTTTTTTCCTGCTCTAGGATCGTTTTCAATCTTGCGATTTTTTTCGTCTGTTGCGGCGAAACATTTTGATTTTTGACAAGACAGACCGAGAGTCAACAGGTTTGCTCGGAAATCAATAACAGGGTGTTTAGCATCAGGATTTTCCCCGATTCCATCAAGATTTGAGGTCAATCAGGATTTAATCCCGATCCCATCAGGATGTGAGGAAAAATCGGTCGTTAAATTAGGATTTGAGAAAGTCGGCTGTCCGATCGGATTTTTTTATGGAGCTATTTTTGTGAATGCAGAAATTTCAATTTCTCCTCGCTAAACATCAGGATTTGGAAAAATAATGAAAAATCAGGATTTAGCTGTTTTAAATCAGGAAAAATCAGGATTCAGCAGTTTTAAATCAGGATTTCCCCCCAATGAAAAAAAAAATTTGATACCCTGAAACTGATGAATTTCGACGAAGTAATTCCTCGAGCTTTCGCGCGTGGAAGTTGAGTCGGGAGCGCGCGCCACCGACGAACGCGACGGATCGGGAGTGAATGAGCAGATGAGCAGAAGACCCGATCCCCTCGCGTCGGCTCCGCGGTGCGCTCGTCCGTTCGTGGGGCTTCGGGCCGACTCGGCGGCGCTCGGGCCGGCTCGACTCGCTCTGGAGCCACTTGTGACGTCATCTGTAAATTATCTCGATTGATCCAGTTTCGTATCATGGTGCCTTAACCTACTCACGCCGCTTCCATTTAATCAGACGTTACTCCAGTACCTCGGCTCGCCCCCTCCCCCCGGCGCCCCCCCTCGCCCGAGCCTGCCTCGCTCTCGCTTCCTCTCGCGGCGGTATCAATCATGCGCTCGCGCTCTCGCCGCTGCTCGGGTATGTTGCGCCGCGCCGCGCGCTCCTGTCCAAGGTTTCCCGCGCGCGGATTCGCAGCTTTCCGCTTTTCCGCCGCGCGCCCGCGGGTTTTTCTCGGGTGTTTTCTTGACCGCGCCGCGGATCTAGAGGGGCGCCGCACGGTGGACCGAGTCTACTAGAAGTTGGACATAATCTGGAAAGTTTGAAAATGAATCAGTGAGTTCTAAAATACGCAAACTCGGAAAAAAAAATTGTTCAGGAAACGCCTAAAACTGCGCAGCGGGCGAAGACGTTAGTTTAAAAGAAAAACCTTTTCGGTGCCAAAGGACAAGTACTTAAATACTTTTCAAAGCACCAAGTTGAAATTGTCCCAACCACGATGAGAATTAATAGATACTGGTTCGATATCTTTTGCGGCGTTTAACTAGTAGCGTTTTTAACGTCTAATTTCTTTCCATCACATCGAAGGTCAAAATAACTTTACTGACTAATCATTGAAAGCAAAAAAATGTGCGAAACAACGCCGGGCGGAAACTTGGTGGGTCGATTCAAACCGACTTCCGACGAATTGATGCTTACCAATTTTATTTTTGTTTTTGTTTTTTTTTATCATTCTCTCTCTGAAGCTTTCCCTTTCCATGATCTGTATTTTAAAGCAAGAAAATTTGCGAAACAACGCCGGGCGGAAACTTGGTGGGTCGATTCAAACCGACTTCCGACGAATTGATGCTTACCAATTTTATTTTTGTTTTTGTTTTTTTTATCTTTCTCACTCTGAAGCTTTCTCTTTCCATGATCTGTATTTTAACCTAGTTAATGGTATTGTTGCAGATGTCAGCAGGCTCACAAATCCAAATGGCTCCACAATCCGGTCTAAACAACTCAGGACAAGCTATTCATAGCCAAGACTCTAATATGAGCACCGGTAAGGATTCGTTACATATCATTTTTATTTCCATCAAGCTTGCGTAACAATAGACCGATTTATTGGCTAGGTTATAATTTCATATCTTAGTTCCGAGGTTCTGTCGTAAAGAAGCACATAGCATTGTCGTATTTGCGCTATGGTGATTTGCGGCCAAGCGTTTTGTGTATATTAAGTCGTTAATTATTCATGATTTGTCTTTAACAAAATTTTAATAAATTAACACACTTAACTTTTCATACTTGTCTCGGAATTATGTACATAAAGTTATGTTCTCGATTGTTTTGGTTTGATCCATCGCAAATCGATATGTCGAACATCGCAGGAATAACGCAACCATAGCAAGGCGTTAAGTCAAGTATCGAAAAAATGACGTAGCCACTAAATCAGTCTATTGCATTTTTCCTCACTTACGCTATCAGGCCAAGAAGGCTTATCTCGCTTATCACTAATGGTTGCAAACAAGAATTTTGTACCTGAGTCTAGATTGTGCCTTTATTTATCGCCCAGGTATTGGCTCACAATTTAAATTAGACTCGTCAAAAATACTTATTCTGCTTTCGTCATGTAATCTTGACTTCTTTTGAAAAATTATTTTGTGCTTGTTTGCAAATGAGTTTCTTATCTGATAAATTGCTCTGTCCAGATTTCCCTGTCCATTAAACCGTGATGGAAAATTAAAAATAGACCTTCACCGAGGCAGGGGTTTCTCATGAGTTTTTAAGTTCCTATCAATCAGTCTAGTCACACCCATTGAAATCTCTTGCGCCTAGAATCTTTGAAAATGCATAGATTGTCACAATGGTATATGTGGATAGTCCTCTGAACGTATCAGTGTATACAAAGTGTAATTTTAACCTCTTCTTTTTTGTAATTTTATTCCATAGTAAATTTACCAGCGGATTTTAACGACAAAGAATCCTTGACTCCTTTAGCATAATATTTCTGTCCTTCCAGTGGGCCGACTATTGAAATTGATAGACATAGCTGTAGAAAAAAAGACAAGAGGGATAATGGAGGGATCCTATTGGCGGAAGCATGTGGTTGGAATGGACAAAGGTGGTATAGGGAATCAATTTCTCCCTTAAATTACAGGAACCACCCGCTTCCACCAACATGATCCCTCCACACCCCTTTTGTCTTATTTGTCGTGTCAATTTCAATAATCGGCCCGCTGATCTTATATCATTGGTCACCTTTCTCTCGGGTTGGAAAGAAAACCTTTTTACACCTGGGAGGTTGAAAAACATGAGTAAATTCTGGCAAATCTGGAAATTGATATTTTTACGGGCAATTTTTTGCCACGGCGAGCACGAACCTTTTCAGGGTAGAAAAAAAAAAATTGGTCTTATTCGCACCCCGAAAACTTATCACCTGGGGTCGAGATTTGAGAGATTCCCGGTCCCGTTTGTTGCAATTCGGTAAAACTGCCGAAAGCTCGCAACACAACACGGAACTGCCTACATTGTAGCCGAATTGCGACAGCTGGAACCGAGAATCTCGGCTCCATCACGTGTAGAGTTTTTCTAGGTCGAGAAACTTTTTATCGTGTGGTGTGAACTACTTCTGCAAGCGTGGCATCAAACGGGCTGTATGTTTACACGGAGGAAATTTATAGCAGTTTTACAAAAAATTTATTTTCCCAACGCAAGAGGGAAAATAACCACGGTTCCGTCCCACTTTTTGCCTGGAGTTTTTCCGGCTGGGAGTGCGAATTAATTCGAATCGTGTTCCTATAATCATATTGTTGTACAGAGGGAGTTGAGACTCGACCTCGACAAAATTTTAGAAATGGATTCGACCCCTCCGGATTCCGAGAAAATCACTCCTTTCGACTATTGACGTTCTGGATCCGACTACCTATTATAAAAAGAAATTTAAAAAAAGATTTTAATAAAAAAAAAACACATTAATTTGTTATCTAGTGGAAAATAACCTGCGTCGCATCGCATAGAATTTGTATCGATGAATTTCACGATCCTATGAACAGTTTAAATAGTTTGGAATACTGACTAGCAGTGCAGAGCATGGAAGTCAAAGATATCATCGCTCACCATCAACCTTAATAATTCCCTTACTATCTCTGTAGAGACTTTTCCGGATCCAGCAAGTTGTCAACACTCTTTCCTCTGCATTGAAACTTATGGTAAAGAATCGTTTTTTGGCGAGGCAGGCGGTTCCATCAAGAATCGATTCATTACCGTATGGATTTAAATGGAGAGAAAACTGCGTTTCCGAATTCCTGAATCTACCTCCGCGTATAGATTTAGAAAGAAGGAGTCATGAGGCGGATCTAAGAGCGAAAAAATGACACGTCGCACTGTAGATCGAGTCTATCAGAGAGGTCGGGCACAAAATTTCGAATAGAACTGCAAATTTTGATGTTGAATTCGTCACATTCTAAATTTTAAGAGGTGCTTCGCCAAGAACGTGTTACGAGGAAACGAATAGAACCACTGGGTTTTTTTTTTTTTTTTTTTTTTTTTTGGTCAAGATAAGTCATTTATTTAAATAAAATTGGTGACAGAAAGTATTTAACAACATGGTAATAACTATAGTAATAGATGTTAAGTAGAGATATAGCTTAAGTATATGGTGTAGTATTATAGTATAAAATACAAATAGTTAATTAAGAATAGAACCACTGTTAACATCTCAAAGTTTTGATTCAACAGAGTTATAAGCTTTTAAAATTTCCAATTTTTGTCCAACCTATTCCATTGACTCGATCCACCGTGCGTCGGCGCGGGAAAGCCGTCCTCACCTAGTTAACCCAGGAGAACCACTCTGGAGAGAGAAAAAAATACATTTAATCGCTTTTTTGCCATTGACGTCAGAGCTTTTCCGTCGGGCCTGAGATGAGCCGCAAATTCGAAGGAATGAGTCACTTAGTCACCAGTAAAGTTCGAGCGAGTGAATCTGAATCTGCGGTGCATGCTTCGATTGATCCGCTTGTCGTGTAATTTCATTTCATCGAGTTTTGAGTGTCTTTGCTTGCGAATCGCCCACCGAATCCTCAGTTTTGAGGTATCGATGGTCCAGATGGGCCCATGGGAGGTTGAAAATGGTTTCGCCACGACCCGCGACGAATATGATTTTTGTGACCAGAGCGAATCGAATACGAACGGGACCTTCATCACAAGTAAGCCAATCGTCATAAAATGTCTACCGTGTTATATCGAACAGTGTTGCCACAGGTAGGGAATACCGGAAAAACCAGGAAATGTCAGGGACTTTTGAAAAGTCAGGGAAAATGTGTTCAATCAGCTTTATTTGCTTTCTAGAATGGGCTTGAGGTTATTCGAACAACAAATTTCGCCTGAAAACTATTTTCAATTATTCTTCTTGGACAACTGTCATATCTTCAATTGTCAGGTAAATTCACCAAAAAGTGCCAGGGAAATTAGGGAAACGTCAGGGAATTTCATTTTCCAAATTCCGTGACAACCCTGATCGAAGAGAGCAGTGGTAACGCCCAACTTTTTGAAAGCGAGTTTGTACGTCAAAATTCCTCTAATCCAATTGGAATGAACCGATTGTTTCAGCTGAAATAGCAAAACTCGTCTTGTTTGTGGAAAAAAAAACCAGACTTATAAGTGAACAGTAAATTGCAATGTCATCTCAGACGAAAAAGCAGTAAGTGCACATTATTCCGTGAAAGAGCGATTCTCTTACTGCTGTCTCGTGTAAAATGTTAACCTTTTCTGGCAATCCTAGCCTGAAATTGTGTAAATTGTGTGTCCAAAACTTAATCACGCAACCATGCAGAAGATCGTTCATACTACTGGCCTTGCCGAACACGAAATGAACAAGGCCCCAGAATTCTCTCAAAACATAAGTTCTGTATTTTGCTCCCGTTGATAGCATTGCAGACGTGACAGTTCGCAAGAAAAAGGATCCGAGCCCACGGCAGCTAAGTTTTTGCTGGATCAATTGTCGTGTGCAGAATTCGGTCGAAAATTCGGTTTAATTCTCTTGTGTCTCAAGAAATAAGTTCCTAGAAGTTCAGTTCGTTTTTGTGTCAAAAAATGATGTAAAGTTTGATTTTAATCCGGCAATTTCATACCCTACTCGTATGCGTCTTTTTCACGCGACTCTGAGCGTCGAACTCTAGCATCACAGGGAAAGTAAAAAAGTTATTTTCCAGCACTTAGGGGCTTCATAATTACACCTTAAGTACCAAAAAAATAGTTGCTGCTCAACCTTGCCATTACAGAGTTTCATGTTTTCAGTATTCTTCTGTGCCCGTTTAAAGGTGAAACCTTTTAAAGTGACAACCAAATTACTGGGAATCTGGCTCTGAAAGAAATGAGTGTGCAATTGAAGCAGCTGTTGGCTGTAGCGTACCTCGAAACTGAGCGGAAATATTTTTTTCGAATGCAACGCACAAAATTGCTTTTAAAACCAAGAAAACTTATTTATCTGAAAAAAGTACTCTTCTCGAAATGCCCGAAGTGATAATTTTTTTTATTTCACACTCAAGCGAAGAATTTTCGTGATTTCACGTGGGACACGCTCTTTTTTCCACAAGTTTTAAAATTGATACTTTTTTCCTGCGTTTTACTTCAGAATTGCCGCCATTTTAAAGCTTGAAATTTTCACCGTGGTTATGTGGAAAACGCACGATTTTCTTGCTATCGCGCGGTGGCCCACCCTTCCTTTCACGCGACCAGCCACGTGACCGTGATCGCATGGTCGAGAAGTTTCTGCACTCCTAAAATAAATGTCTGAGCCATTGAACTAAAGGGAAGTGGATCCCCAAGTGTCCATACTCTACCTTCAGAGTAGATCCACTCCGTATTTTAGATTCTCCTCTCCCCACCGACCCTCCAACCCCGCGAGTACTCAACAAACTTACGAATTTCCGTGTCTTCGGTTACTCAAGATAAATTTTCTCTCTGTCGAACCGGGCGAAACGATTTGCTTAACCCAGTGTTTTTTTCAAACGATGTGTCGTAATAATGAGTCACCCTGGATAGTTAGAATGGGTCACTAAACCATGAACGAATTTTTACTTGCGAATATAGTTGTCTGAAGGAACATGACGCGTAGAACACGATGCGCACATTAAAAACACGAACAAGTAACTCAATAACCGAGAAATGCGCAGTTCAAATCGCTCAACTTATACGCAAATTTAAAACGCCCCGGTTTCGCGCCGCGCCGAATGATGTCATCCGGCACCAATCAGAAGCGGGCACGGGTTTCCACGACTTCCGTCAAATGTCTATCTACTCTTCGTATATGAAAACAATACTAAAGTCGAAATTATATCTTTTGAATTCAAGACTTGAATCTCATTCATATGTTAGCCGTAATAAACGAGCAACAATTCCACATTGAAACACGTTTTATTTTAACAAACATCAGAGGAAAATGAGAGAAGATTGCGATATGACTACCGCAGTGACCCATTCATAGGTTGCCCGCTCTTTCGGAGCCTAAAAGCTTCATGACCTATCCTTAGAATTACCGACGTGCCCATACTCTCCCTATACAGGTCGAACTTAAGTACCTGGATAAGGGAGAGTATTGCCATCTTAATCCTTTTTCTACAGAAAAAGTGTACCGCTCTGTTGATTGGTCGGCTATCATGAAGCCCCAAATTTGTCCCAATGTAAACAAGCAAGATGGTGACAAAGTTCTACGAAGTTCCAGACGTGATTTTGGATGTGATAGAATTCTTTTTATTTTCAACTTCTGAATTGAGTTCGGATCGAACTTTGACGGATATTGTTGCCGAAAATGAATATTCTTTGAGTGTGATTATGATTCATTTCTTAGCCGATAATACGTGTTCCTTTGGGTCGGGTTTGTTTACATTGGGCCAACTTTGGAGCTCCTTGATGGCCCAAAACTGATGAACCAATCAGAGAGCGGCACAGAGATGGCAATTCTCTCCCTTATATAGGTACTCCAGGTCGAACCGCTCCTACCAAAGTCGCGGCCATTTTTATGGATCCTAACGAGGGTGCAACGCGGTCTATCCGTAAAAGTACTCGAATTTGAGTAAGGCATCCAATAAATTGTGTCCGGTCGTGTCGCGCCGTCGTCGGCAAATGGAGATGTTGCATGTGTGAGAGATTTGCGATTTGACTGTTGTTTCTTATGTAAAAGTTCGCGAGAAACACGATGGTGCCACTGGTTTTCTCTGGAATCATCTCCCAAGCTCAAAAAAAGCTCTCAAAGTGAGGCCAAAATGGGGGGGGGGTGATATCCCGCCCTACCCTGAGAGTCCACCTCTACATCAAAACAAACTCTCCATGCAAAGATAGGGAGCAAATACATTGACAGGGCTGCCACTTCATTTGGGGACTCCAAAACCGAAAACACGGCAACCCTGCTAATGTATTTGCTCCCTATCTTTGCATGGAGAGTTTGTCTTGATGTAGAGGCGGACTCTCAGGGTAGCGTGGGATATCCCCTTCATTTTGGCCTCAACTTGAGAGCTTTTTTTGAGCTTATGGGTTGATTTCAGAGAGAACCAGTGGCACCATCGTGTTTCTCGCGAACTTTTACATAAGAATCAACAGTCAAATCGCAAATTCCTCACACATGCAACATCTCCATTGGCGGATCTACCAATTTGGCAACACCGGACTTCCTCCATTCAAACATATGGAAATCTATCGATTCTTGGAGGGGCCAGGCGCTCCGACAAGAATCGATTATTTAACATAGGTTTAAATGGAGGAAATCCGGTGTTGCCGGCCCTGACGACAGCGTCCGTCGCTTCGCATCGCGCCCGGGCCTGGTCCCGGTCCCCGATCCCGGTTCCCGGATTCCAGCCCTCCCCCCACCCCCTCCCCCACCCCCTTCGGAGCCCCGATCCACAACCGTCATCGGTCCGCCAGGAGCTCGGCTCGGCTCTCGTGCTGCGGCGAGGAGGGGGAGGTCTCGGTATGTGGTGGCGGGGCGGGGGGTGGAGGGCGGTGCGGTGGTGTCGGTGAAGAATATGCACGGTAATTTCACTCTCTAACTTTTCCCAGCAGCTGAAACGCCGGCGAGCCGAGTCGCCGTACAGTGGAACGGGTCGAACTTGACGTGGAAACTTGGGAAGCTGCGTCAATACGAAACGCCCCGCAGGGTTGCCACAGTCGGAGAAGCTTATAAAGTCAGGAAAAATCGGGAAATGTCAGGGAGAACTTACCAAGTCGCCTCTATTCACTTTTTAGGATGGGTTTGACGTCTCGAACGACGAATTTTGCTTGAAAACTATTTCTACGTATCGACGGCGTTAGTCCGCAATCGCGTATCTCGTGTGCGGTGTCTGAAAATCTTCGCCTCTATATTATTTTTTCAAGAATTACAAATTGGCATCACTCCTCGAAGTTTTTGTAGAATTTTCTTCGCACGGAGAAGAAAAATCACGGCAGTTTTAAAGAATTGCCGTTGAGGAGTTTTCCGTTTAAAAAATAAAGTATGACAGAAAGTCTGCGACGTCGCAAACCGAATTATGTAACATCGTCGTCATGTCTTTTTACCATCTAGCATATCTTCAATTGTCAGGGAATTTCACCCAAATGTGTCAGGGAAATCAGGGAAGTGTCAGGGAATATCATTTTCTAAATTCTGTGGCAGCCCTGGCCCAAGTATAAAAGCCGGCGTTCCCTTAATTTCCTTGAAATGTCCAATTCGACGGGATGAATATCAAATTGCGCAGTTTTAGGCCGAACTTTCGTGTCTGAGCTTTCCCCCAAGTTGGCTCCTTGTGCGCCGTTGCGTTGTGCGCAGTCGATGTTGGGTTCGCCGTCGTCCGAGGCCCCTCGTGCCCTTCGGGGATTGCAACATCGCTCCTGAAACCTCGCAATTAACACGGTACAATCTTTTGTTGTCGCCGGCCGGAGTAGCGTACTCACGTTGGGAGAGGATTGCTATGTCCGTGCCGCCCCACGATCGGTTCATCTGTCTCGAACTTCTCATTGGGTTCTCCGCGGGTTGATTATTGAAATTTATAGGCAAGCGACTGGAAAAGAAGTGTAAAGGAAAATGGAGCAATCCTATTGGTCGGAACGAGTGGTTGTCTCAGATCATGGGGAAAAATGATGGACTAACTCTACGGTCCCTCGAAGGTTGCTGTTGGTTAGTCTAATACTTACCCCACTGCAACCATCCAGTTCCACCAACAGGATCACTCCATTTTCTCTCTATCTTCTTTGTCTATCATTTTGTCTATCAATGTCAATAATCGGCTAGCATAGCAGGGCCAACTATAAGTGAACCAAATTCTAAAGAATTAGAGCGCTGGATGCAGGAAGAGCGCTTCTTGGTTGCGGTGACGCAGAATATCCGTCAACATTTCATCAGTGATGAGGAAAACAAATGTTTCTTGGCACTTACTTCTAAATTCCCTCAAACGGAAAATACTGCTGTTGCTGCTTTTTTTGGAAAAATTCGGAAAATGCAAGAAATCTATCAAATCCCGAAAGCTCGAAAGTACGTTTGAAATTCTCAATAATCGTCATCTAAATGTAGATGCCATCTTTCAAAAGTATAGGATTTTGTACTAATTTTGTGTATCTCTCGAGTTTTGTGTTGACTTTGTTGCAAGGAGCTCATGATGTACTTTGCAATGTTTTTTTGGGAATGTTTTAATGGTTTTTTGTTATTGTTTGTTACAGGTTCATCTCATAGTGATAAAGAAACTGAATCAACTCCTGAGAAACTTTCAAGGCCCGGATCAGAAAGGAAACGAAAGCGGAAAGGAGAAGAGGGTATCGGCGGAGGGGGAAAAAGTAGTCCCCGAATAATCAGTGATAATAAAAAGATCAACGAGTATTTTGCTAGCAAGCATTCTGGTACTAGTCCCATTCGTTCTCATGGTGGAGCAAAAAGTCCTTCTCCTGCTCAACAGGGGTATTCAATGGTAAGTCACATTTTTTCTATCGTATATCTATGGGGAATTCTACCGTACTATGGAAAAACGTCGTATGAACATTCGAGAGTTGCCAAGTTTCCTCTAATGAATTGTTAATTTTTTAGGAGAGTTATGAATATTTTCTCTTGAAATTTTCCGAGGATTTAGATCTGATCGTGTATCAAATCATCTGAAACATTTGAGGAAAACTATCCACAGATCTCCCCGAAAATCCGTATTTTATCGAAAGAAATTTGGCAACGTCTGAAGGCACATACGATGTTTCTCCCCAGCACGGCAGAATTGTTATTTTCTCTTGTGGAAATTATCCTGAAAAACCAAAGGAAGAAGTTTGTTCCTTTCCATGATGAATTATGGAATTTTAACGTTTTATCATCTCGTCTAATGTTTCTTACGTCGAAGAGAATTATTTTACCTGATACTCTTAAAAGATCTGAGCGGTATTTAGATTCTATTCACTTGCCATGGAACGATTTGATGTTTTTAAAAAGGTTTCTAACAGCTTAAAAAGTCTTGAAAGTCAGGGAATTTACAGCGATCTGTTAAAGACAGAGAATTCATAGATGGGGAATTTTGTAGGTAGCGCATCGACTCAGCACCTTCAACTAGTGCAATTCAACAGTGAATGAATATGTTTAAAGTACCTTTCCTTTAATTTGAATCTCTAAAAGTGGAGAATTTTCCCTTAACTCACCAAAAATCAGTGTAATATAAGAACAATAATACAAATCAAGGTTTTCATGGAAGGTCAGGGAAAGTCGAGGAATTCGAAAATTTTCAAGTCATGGGAACGCAAAAAAAGTCAGAGAAAATTTGAAAACTTCTTACATTCATATTTTGTTATCTTGCATTTTTTATTATTATTTTCCTTACCTATTTGTTTGTTTTCTTTCGTTTTACAGTTCCCACCATCTCCTCAACAAGTTATAATGCCTACAACACAGGTGCAAACGGTTCCTCCAGATTATCCAAGTCTAATGCATCCGCCTAGACCTCACCCCCCTACCAGCAATATGATCTGTAAACAAGTTCAGGTGAGCAATCTCAATTTTGTTCGTATGTGGATAGGTCTCTGATAGCCTGAATAAAATTTTTTCAGACACTTTTAAATCAGGATTTTAATATTTAAACCTATATCACAATTCTATTACTTATATTCCTAATACTTGTGACTTGCCAAAATGAGTTTCAGTTCTCTTTTATCATATGGTGCATTTAGGAAGCAGGGGTGCTGAATCTACCTATGCTCGCAATTTCACTTACCTGATGGGACATGTGATGAGGCATTGTCCGCACTTCTGTTAGGAAATAGTCGCCATCTGATTTCTAACTTTGTTACTAACCCCTCGGCAGGATGAGATAGATCTTGCCGTTACAATCTGGTTACAAAGGCTCATACTGAATAGAAGCCACTAAGGAATATGTCATACATTTGAAAAATAGAATAATTTTGAAGATTCCTCCTTACTATAATTTTTGTTGAATATTCATTTGAATCTATCGATCAAGGATGAAAGTTGCAAAAAAAATCTGATTCTGTATGTGTAAATGCCATTTTGTGGTGTCTGTGGCAAGCTATGTCTGCTAAAAGAATCTTAAATTGTAAGCTTGATAATCATTTCAATATTCTTCTTGGACTTAAGGTTGCTGGACTTAAACCTGACTTTATTTTTGTTCCCCTTCAGACGGAGCTCACCCGACAAAGGTTACAAGAAATTGAAACCCAGTCATCATGTGATATGGAAGCTAAGAATAATAAAATTGAAGAATTAAATAGGGTAAGTTTTTTGTCTTGCTAACTACATATTTAACTTAGTATCATTTCAAAGGAAGTTATTACTGAGAAAACAGATAGTCCGATTTTAATAACTCGCAACTCGTTTTCATGTAGGAAATATTCCAGATGCTGTTGGAAGCCTTTTGGTCACCTTTTTGAATATTGAGTTAGAGACTGTTGAAGGTGGAGGCAAGTAATCTCTGGAATGCATTTGGAAAATTTCCTAATTTAAAATGTGTTACATTATTGAAATCTTAACCATCGCTGCTTGTAATGTTATTGTTGGGCCTTACCTAACATCCATCTGGAGCTTACTAATAATTTTGTTGGCTCCTTCTAGACAGCCATTTGCAAAGAGTTGAATGTTTATTCAGATAAATGCTATTTTAAATCAAGAGTTTTTGCATTTTACCAGCACTCTTGATAGTAAAATACATAAGTAGAGGGTCGTTTGTGAAATAGATGTGTTGGGTTAATCAAAATTATGCCCAAAAATGGATCTAGTCAAAGTATTTTGGTAAAAAATAAGCTGTCCAAGTTACTGATCACAATATGATGAAGTTCTGGTCTGAAGCCTAGAGATGTATGGGGCACTCAGTTAACCACTCGTGTAAGGAATTATTTTATTGTTTCTTAATCCTATTGTTTTTCTTGGCATGTTTCAGACTAATGAAGAATTAAGATTACAATTAGCTGCTTCACAAAAAGTAATAGATTCACATAAAGCACATATAAATAAATGTATTGATGTTGTTAAAAAATTACTTAAAGAAAAGTCAAATATAGAAAAAAAGGAAGCTCGCCAAAGGTGTATGCAAAACAGGTTAAGATTAGGTCAGTTTGTAACGCAGAGGGTAGGAGCCCAGTTTCAAGAAAATTGGACTGATGGATATGCATTCCAGAAACTTTCTCGGTAAGTCTTAGAATGAAACCCACTTGAATTTACTATAGAATAAACATGTTTTTAAAGTCCACATTTCACAGGGTTGTGTATCCAATTGTTCGCTGAGCTTTGCAAAAGTGTCATTAAAGTCCCGCTGAATTATCCGATGACGAGTCATCTTGTCAGTGAAATCAGTCAATGAGGGTCTAAGGCTCATTGGTTGCTGACGTACCTTGTTTGCTAACTAATCTGCATCAGCACGAAGCAGATGAATAAAAAAGATGGACTGGCTTCATTTCGCTGACTTCAATTTTCTAGCTATTTACGTGTCTTATTATCTGAATCTTACTTGTTAAAGTTTTTCATGCTAGGCTAGGCCTAAGAAAAATTGTTGGTGTTTTAGACCGAAGTCAGATTATAATGTGGGAAATTATTTCCCCTGTGCAAATTTTTTTAAAAAATTATTTGATGTATTTGCTGATAATTCTCTTCAGAAATGTTTCTACAGTTTGTAAGTAACCTCATCATGACTTTTTCAGGCGGCAAGAGGAGATTACTGCGGAAAGAGAAGAAATAGATAGGCAAAAGAAATTATTAGTCAAAAAACGACCTGCCACGGAAACAGGACGGAAAAGGGCTGGTAGTCAGTCAGGTGGTCAGGGCAGTCAAAGTAACCCCGCAACACCAGGCCAAGCCAATTCCAATGCTTCGTCGTCCTCTTCCAATACGGCAATGCACAATGGTACGGATAATGCTACGTTCCTCAAACCCGATGCTGTGTCTGGCTTATCGTGGCAAGAATACTATGAGGCAGATGAAATACTAAAAGTAAGTTTCCATCTTAGTTTGTTTGAAATTTACGAAAGGATGTAGGGGGAACATCCTTATTCTTATTTTACCTGGTCTGGTGGCAGAGAACAATAACTTTCTAGCTCGTTCACTCTGGCAAACTTCTAGTTTGCTTTCTACAGTGCTGATGCTATGTGTATGTTTTCATAACCCATAAGTTTAAAAGTAAATTAAAATCTTATTACCATCTGTTATTTAAATTATTATTAGAATTTACTAGAAACTCTGCAACACCTCAGAAGTCTCTGTACTCCATCTTTGATTACCGATCACTACAAATCATGGTTTGCTACTTGTGGTTCTCAGCTAACTCAATTCTCCGAGCTTAAGTTTCAATTCAACATTTCCATGTTATTTTTTGTGGCACCTGAACCATACGCAAACCAGGAGATCAATTTTTACCAGCCATATGCCAAAAATGCGCTAGTTAATTGAGTGCCAGAAAGTAATAGAGCTTGAAATGGCTTGTTTTTCGGTCTACTACGATGTTCAAGCCATGCATGTAAAGGCCAGAGCAATCCACTCAGCAGTCAAGTAAGTGACGGACATATCAAGGAAAAAAGAAGAATAATTCAATCAATCATGCATTTTACATACATCTTCATGGTAATTCGGTTTAGTTCACTTGTCACATTATTTGGATTTCTACTTCTTCGTCTTGGCAGAATCCATAATATTCCCAACAGTATTATCCTCTTTCACCTCTCAATTGTTAATTAATTAATTTTACTTTATTTTTTTTTTCAGTTGCGTCAGTCAGCATTGAAGAAAGAAGATGCTGATCTTCAACTAGAAATGGAAAAGCTGGAAAGGGAACGTAATTTACATATTCGTGAATTGAAACGTATTCATAACGAGGACCAGTCGAGGTTCAATAATCACCCAGTGCTCAACGATAGGTATCTTTTACTGATGCTCCTTGGAAAAGGTGGCTTTAGTGAAGTTCACAAGGCATTTGACTTAAAGGAACAATGCTATGTTGCTTGCAAAGTCCATCAATTAAATAAAGACTGGAAAGAAGATAAGAAAGCAAATTATATAAAGTAAGTATCTTATTTCATTTCTATTCTTTTATTTGAACCTTTATGAAGGTCTGATTAAGGAGCTATCTTCAGGAAAAAAAATAATGTTCAATTGCAAATTTAATAAGGTATTGAGCCTTGGAGCTTGCCTCTCTGACAAGCTGAAATGTTCCATGAAAAATTCCATCTCTGTCGGCCAAATGATGCTTACATGTATTAATCTAAATAGGTATTACTGCCACCCAAAAGTGAAAATAAAAATCCATGTGTACAAAATGCTTTACAACCTGTAAGCTACGTAAGAGAATAACAATAAAGCATGGCAGCCGGTTAGAACTAGAGGTGTTAGTTGCGTGAGACGAGACATCGTTGGGGAAAAGAAAGGATTCTACTCTGTGCGTTGGAAGGGGAAACTAATCATTGGATGGCATCAAAGAACCTTTCTCTGGCTATAAAACGACAAACTTCTCTCAATTTAAGCATAATCTCAGGCATCGTGCATTAATTTCTTTCAAATTTCACTCAACATTCTGTAGGAGGAAATGCCATTCTGTGCTATTTTTTGTGACTACATCCTGTTACATGTTCGAGAAGCCTTTGCTTTCCTGAGTTTTTTTTTCTTTTTTTAAACAAAAAGAGTTTCTATTTTTTTGTACAATACATGTATATTTTGGCTCAAACCCTTTCTCTAACCTCTTTCTTCATTCTTGTTACAGGCACGCTTTAAGGGAGTATAACATCCACAAAGCGCTGGATCATCCCAGGGTTGTGAAACTATTTGATGTTTTTGAAATTGATGCGAATTCATTTTGCACTGTCCTAGAGTATTGTGATGGTCATGATTTAGATTTCTATTTGAAGCAGCACAAGACAATTGCAGAACGAGAAGCTAGGTCGATAGTGATGCAAGTTGTATCTGCTCTTAAATATTTGAACGAAATCAAACCTCCTGTCATACACTATGATCTTAAACCAGGTAAGTCAAATTTTCTATCTATTTAATGACAGTATTTTCCTTGATGCGAAGCTAAGAGTCTGCTGAGTTGTGGTTGAGTGGTGTGGTTGGCTGAGTGTGGACTGAGTTGTGGAGGTGACTGTTCTAGCACAGGTTTCTTTAATCCACGAAACGCCAACTCCTAAAGTTATTGAACTGCTTCTCTGATCTTAACAAGTTGACCGCTTTCAAGCGGGCCTCGCAGCCAATGAGTTAATGCATTCAGTGAATAGGTGACTGAACTTGTTCCTGCAGAGGAGGATAAAGGTGTGAAAATGATTGAATTATGCGAAGATTAGTGCCTTGTTAACCTGATCAATGTTTTTTTTTAAATTGTCAGACAGCCTTGAAGTACTTACAGTAAGACCTCGATTTATTGGATTTCACGGGACCGGAGGTCGAATCCGTTAAATTGCGGAATCTGTTAAATCGCAATCCAATAATTCGAGGTCTTACTGTGACTGCTTTACGGGCGTCTCATAGAACCCAAGTAATTTTTGGCAGCAGAAGGTTAAAAATGCAATATAGTTACATAAGTCCTTGCAGGTTTTAAGTAATTTACAGCACTCAAAGTTCACACAACAATTTATTCTCTAATATTTTTGTTGATTGTTTACAGGTAATATATTATTAACAGAAGGTAATGTCTGTGGAGAGATCAAAATCACTGATTTTGGTCTTAGTAAAGTGATGGATGAGGAAAATTACAATCCAGATCATGGAATGGATCTTACCTCTCAAGGTGCTGGAACTTACTGGTATTTACCTCCTGAATGTTTCGTTGTTGGAAAGAACCCACCTAAAATATCCTCCAAGGTTGACGTATGGAGTGTTGGAGTTATATTTTATCAATGTCTCTACGGCAAAAAGGTAATTTTTAGAACTTATCTCCTTGCTCACTTTCTTGCATCTGATCTATTAACTCCTCACAGTTGGCTAACTCTCTAGGGGTGCGTCAATTTGCATACTGCATTTTACTTATGAGATTTTACGTCTACGATTATTATACCTTCGACTAAATGCATTTAAAAGTTGACCTAAAACTATAATGCCTTCCGTATATTTGCCAGTGATGATGACTTACGAAAATCAGGTGCCTGCAGAGGTTGGTTCATGTATGGAACTTTTAAAACATCCCCTAGAATTTTCACCCAAATTTTTACTGTTCAGGGGATGGTGAGAAACAAAGATTCATTTCCATTCAGGTATGCTTTACTCGGAAAGGAAAATGAAAAAAAGTTACTCACTCGTTTGTCAGAAAATTTAAGAAAAATTATCTGAAATATTTCCAAATTATCAAGGCCTAGTTCTCATTATCAGCGATTTTGAAAAAGCAATAATTAACGCCCATAAATAAGGTTTCCTGAACGCTGCAACTAGACTTTGCATTTCAATTCGGGACCAAGCGTAAACAAAGGAGTGTAATCGAAAGGTTAACCCATGTTCAGGAATGCAGAATTTTAACTTACCTTTGATATGTCAGTTATAATATTTCACCTTATGAATTCAGGTAAATGAACCTCACAAATTTTTCACATAAATTTTCAGTTGAATGCAAAATCGTCCAAATTTTTTAATGCCACAATTCTTGGAGGCATTTTAATTTTTGGTCAAGTTTTATATGCATTTTGTCAGAGGTCTAATAATTGTAGACGTAATGTCTCGTATGTAAAATGCAGACTGCCAATTGACAACTCTCTAGCTTCTGAGATTTTTATCCTATTGGAATCTTGGATTCAGTCAAGATAAGTTGGACCGTGTTAAACAGAAAGGAACCAAGCCACATCAGCTATTGCCAAATTTAATTGGCTGATTAAATTTTTTACATGAATGCAGTTTTGCGGATTTTCGTGCAAATTTCAGTGAATTTTCTCCATAGTACGAAGCAAATTCCTTAAAATTTTCAAAGGGATCCGCTCAAATGTTTTCTCGTAAAAAATTAAATTGCCCAGTTAAAATAGGCAATAGCTGATGTGGCTTGGTTCCTTTCTGTTAAATGCGGTCCAGTTATGTACTCTCTCTCAAGTCCCCCAGTATCATAGCTTGTAGCCGCAGCTCAGGCCAATTGTAACGGAATCACTCTGTGGCTATGTCAATTGATACATCGATGTCAAAAGATCAGAATATGATGAGTTCCTTTGATTTTTTGTAGTAGGTCAATGAAACATTTTGAATTTGGAATGAATATTTTTTTTGTTGTTTTAGTTAGAACCAAATTGAGTAGCCACTATGTCAGTCTATTGCATTGTAACAAGGTGGAGAAATGATGTTGAGTCCACACCATTTCGCGGGGAAAACAAAGCCAAGAATTTCCGAAAAATTTTTGGCTTTGTTTTCTCCGCGCAATGGTGTGGACCGAACACCATTTCTCCACCTTGTTACATATAGTATTCGGGCCACTTCTTAGTGTTTTATTTTCTCATCTATTGCATTGTTTACATATTGAGGGTGAAACTCCCAATCCATGCATCTCGGTTTGTGATAGTGCAGACTTCCTGTCATGCTTTATTTTTTAGATCGGAAATTACTCAACATCAGTTCTTTACAACTTCCTTGAATTTTCTTATTATAACACCACAAAGGAGATGCGCAAGTGGTTTGGGAGTTTCACAATTCATATGTTGTCATATTGTTTTTAAAAAAAATTGCATGACAACAAGAGAGATGAAAAAAACTTGGAGCGTAGATCCACTTGAAATTATTTCATATTTCTTATCAATTAACTCTCAAGTCCCATCCACGTCCGTAGATATCAAGATGATCTGATCTGTTGTCAAAGATTTCTAGCACCTGGTTCTCTATCTGGTTTCTCTAGCCCCAGCGTATTATCCCTTTGTACTTATTGAGATTGTCTTATGTTTCAGCCATTTGGACACAACCAGTCTCAGGCAACTATTTTAGAAGAAAATACTATTTTAAAAGCAACGGAAGTTCAGTTTGCGAATAAACCTACTGTTAGTAATGAAGCAAAGGTAATTCATCTTTATTCTCATCATCTCTGCTTGCTAAAGAACTTATGGATTGTTATTCACTTACTTGATTGGTATTGCCAATTATCAGGAGTGTTTTCACTTAATACGGGGTCTTCTAGTGCCCTGGAGAACCTGACAAGTCAGGGAATTCATGATAACCTGGAAAAGTCGGGAAAATCAAAGGAAAATCTTAGGAATAGCATGTTGGTTCAGCATCTTTAGCTAGGATTACTTGAAAGAGCACGAACAACTCTTAACTAGCTGCTTTTTCCTATTATTTGGTTCTCTAGAAGTGTATATTTCGTTCAAACTTTAACAAGAGTCAGAGCAATTAAAAGAACAAAATCCAAGCGGAAATTTTTTTTGAAGGTCTGGGGAAGTCAGGGAATTCAGAAATTGTCAGACGAGGGAAAAGCACAGATAGTCAGAGGATGGGGAACACAGAAATTTTAGAAACCCTGTAACGCCTTTTATACTTTCTTGTTGTGCACAGCATGCAGTAATGTCAGTTATTCATCTTCAAATTTATTTCGTCGCCAGCTATACTGTTATTTTCTCCCTTATGACAAATTGTCTCTTGATATTCTTAACTTTCGAAAATCCATTTGAAACCTCCGTTTTATAAAAGAGGTAATTTACATTTTTTAAAGAAATGAAAGTACTAGAGTTATTGAATGCAATAATTTATAGCAAAGCCAATATACTTAATGTAAAGTTTTAACTTACAATTCATTTTTCGACAATTCCTTTCCATAACATTTTGTCCTTTGAGTTTTGGCCTTAGCCTTTGACGCTTTACACTTGTGTTTTTAGTTTATTTTCCGAAGGCAAATAAGTATATCAGTATTATGAATTATTCCGTATAATTTTTTTGTAGACTGTCGCAAAACTTAAACATTTCCCTCTCTACAAATAAACAGAACTATACTACATAGTTTGCTCGTTGAGTTTATAGTTGCCAACTCTGATCTCTTGATTATGTTGGGTAATATAATTATATACATTATTAAGGAAGAGGTGTCTCTGCAAAATATATTTTAAAGTTAAAGAAAGAGGAATTTCTTTATTAGGGTATTATATTTGTGATGAAACCATGCTCCTTTTTCGAGTTAGATGGCTGTTCTCCAGGCAGTCACAATAGATACGGTACAAAAAATATTTCGTTTCGGGTTGTTCCACATCCACAATAGCTTTGTTTCGTTTCATGGAAATTTCATGTAAAAATACCGATCAGATTGCTTTTGAAAAAACAAAATTAGAATGATAATCTGAGAAATGCAAATTGAAGTGTAGTTTTACTGTAGACTAGTATCAAAAAATTTCAGCACAAGTCTCAAACAAAAGGCTTTGCATCTTCGACTCAACGATGGTGTCACTTCTCCACATGATGTCTGGTGTTAAATCGCCGAAAAATTAACTTTTCAGACTGGATTTTTTCGAGATTTGCACGTAGAAAATTTTATCTCCGAAGCTCATTTGACTCAGGAGACTGTAAGAAACATAATATTAAAAATTCTCGAAATTTAAGTGGCTCCGCATTTCTTGGTATCCTAAGTGTGGTCCGTTTCAAGCTGCCTTTGATGGATTCAAACTATAATGCCTGAATGTCCTTTCCCAGCAATGCTTGGAATGCAACCCCCCTTAAGAGCAAACACCAAAGAAATCTCAAGATTCCCTCTGCATTTTCTTTACTTATATTTCTCCCTATCATTTTTCAGAGTTTCATAAGAGGATGTCTTCAGTATCGGAAGGAAGATAGAATTGATGTTTTTTCGTTGTCAAGACATGAATACCTCCAACCTCCGATTCCAAAGCATGGAAGGCAGTCAGCAAACAATCAACAGCAACAACAGCAACAACAACAGCAGCAGCAACAACAGCAGCAACAACAACAGCAGCAGTTATGCGCGTCATTTTCGACAGGGATGTTTAGCGGAATGAATGCCTCTAGTTCGTCGTAGTGCGTTATCAGCTTCTTCAAGTTACGTTTTTAGTTTTTTTTCAATTATTTCAGTGCATAATTCATTTTATGAAAGGTTCGCAACATTGTGATTATTATTATTATTAATATTTTCTGTTTAGTGTTTATACTAATTAACTGTATTGAAAAAAAACAAGATATCAGAAAAAAAGGAATAATGCGAAGGAAAAATAATAACATTTGTATGATAATGTTAATTGCTGTTCTCAGCATAGACTATATTTAAGGTTTATTTTAATTCATCGTGAGTAATAATAATTAATAATAATACATTATTTATTTATTTGTTTATTTATTTTTTTCATGCTTGTGTATTATTATTATTATTATCGTCGTCATCATCATCCTCATTGTCGTCATTATCATCAATACTATGATTATGATTATCATCAATATTATCATATATTATTATGGCTATTATTATTTTTTGTTATTATTTTTTAATGTCTTTTACTTTGTAGAAACTGTTATTCTTGGACTTATAAGATAGATATTCAATTTTGTGATACTCTTGGAATTTATTTATATCATGTTTCTGTCATGAATTTTGTTCTATCTGACGCTCACCCTATTACATTTTATTTGATTGATTTTGTCTCTTTCCTTTGTTAGAACATTGCTTTCCCTTCATTGTTAAATACTTTTGTTACATAAGCAATGTTAATTTCTTTTTTCTTTTTCCTCAGCCCCTCCGGCACGTATCCTGTCACAATTCATGAAATATTTGTAAATTAAAGTATATATACATATATTTTTTTTTTCTTTTTTAATTTATGTCGAGGCAGTTGTAACAGCATAATTTATTTGAACATTTTAATCGCTTTGAAAACTGATCTTACTTTTGACGATGGATAGATGGAGAGCCTTATCTGAGAAGAAATGAATTCAGTTATTATTCCTATCTATGAAGTTCAATTTTTCAGTTATCAGTGGTCCGCGTTGTCTTCCAACAGTCTGTATTCAATGTGCCCACCATTCTTTTTTACAAGCATCTTTCCCACTCTAAATATGAACTGCTCTTTTCTCTTATCACAGAAGACCTGTGGAATTTTTTTATGAAATCCCTCAATTGTTTTGGGGTCAGTGGGATGAAGAGCAATCAGTATTTTACCAATAGTAAGGCTCTTGGAAAGAGAGAGAGCCAAAGCATGTGAATCCGGCAACTGTACATTTTGTATCGATTGTAAAATTCAAGGGTCCAGGCATGAACATGTATAGTGACTTTTTTGGAGACAGTGAAGCATCGATTATTTTGTATTAGCAGAGCCAATCTCAAAGTATTACAGGGAAAAAATGGAAATTTACAACACCAGTCTGAATTTTCTTCAGGCCATTTGGTCCCACAAAGCGCTCTTCTTAAAATTGCAGATCAATCACAGAGCATGTTTGTGCATTTGACCTTTCAATTATGACATTGTGTCCTTGTATTAAAATGGTTGAGTGTGATCACTGTAGTTCGTCAAAACATTCTTAGCACCGCAGCCATTTTACATTCAGATCCTTGCATGTGTATTCTTTTTTACTAATTTTGTTCTTCCTTTTCTTTACTCATTTATGAAATTAGACCAATCAAATATCATCATTGACATACTTTTCATATTTTTTGTATATAATCACGCAGACAAACTAAAATTTGTTGTACCACCCTCAATGCCAACTTTATCAGAACGTCAAATAAATTAACACCAGATACCTTTAAATTTTTTGTACAGGACTTAGGTGGAAAAAAAAACCTCCTAAGATAATTCAATCGTTCGAAACAGTAGATTATTTGAATATTGCAGGTTTCTCAGCATTGCTTTGACATAATTATTACCCTGCATCCCAAAATCAAAACATGGTGCTGGACCATTGTCATTTAAAATTCTCAGAAATTATTTTCCTCTTTATCTTCTTTCGGGAACTTCTTAGCGTTGTTTATCATGGTCTAATTGTTGTTAGACAAAGTACTTGTCCATACTTCTCTGCAACTAAATCTAACTTAAACTTTGCAACTCAAATTCAATTTGAAAAGCTCAATTTGTTCAGTTGGAAGGAGCGCCTGAGAGTGTGAGAATTTGAACCAACCAAATGGCTCAAATTCAAAGGGGAAAAGTATATTTCAGAATTTTCAAAGCATCACAATACTGCGGATTCACTTATCTTGATTTCAGCACCTAAATCCTTTAGTGGACAAATGGAGGAAAGTCCCCCAATCTTAAAGGAAGTTAAAATTACTGCAAGAGATCCGTGACCTCCCGGTTATTTTGTTTTATTTATCAAACAATTTTCATGATATATTGCAAACATTGTACATACATAGGTACTGGACCTCTATTATTTTTTCATCCCTCCTCTACAGATCTGTAAATTACATTTTACCAATTTAAAACAGCTTCTGTAGATGTTACCTAGGTGCCAGCCAAAGTGACTTCATCTCAATGTTATTCACCTATGCTGTTTTACTAAATATTCACCCCGTGTATATATTAAAATGCAACTCATCCGATGAATTTTCTTCTTCTGGCAACTAAAACTTGAAAGAATTCAGTAATGGAGGCGTACAGCGAGTGAACATTTTTTTTAAATCCGATGTCCGTATAATTTCACCCCTCTTATTAGACTTGTAGTTCATTTTCTTGTGGGGGAAGGAAGAAATGAAAAGTATGGTTTTCTTAAGAGAGAATGGGAAAAGTTTCTGCCATTCTTCTTTCCTGAAGTTTTGATACTCTGTGCAGCCTACATTGCAGGTTGTCTAAGTTTAAAAATTGATAAAAAGACAAAAAATCATTCCCAAGAAGAGAATGTTCAAAAGTTCGGAACACTAGCATGCGATCTTATTGAGTCCAGAAGTGAAGGATAGAATTTTTTCTCAGTTACTTGTAGTTGCTGGATTCAATTAAACTTTTCTTTTCCTATCCTCCCCTCTCTAATATGCAGGAAAATTGAACCAACTCTTTCGGATACCTCACTAGCATTAGTTTATGTCAATTTTAGACAGAGGTGTAGTATTTTGGGAAAACTTACGGTCGAGTAAAATCCGCGATGTTATTTTTTTCTTTCTTTTTAAATTAAATTTGCATGTATTATTGAGGACGTGACATCAGCAACTAACGACATCGTCAGCAACTGAGCAGGGCTCCTTTGCATTAAAACTGCTGACATGATTATCCCACTTGCAGAAAATGATCTCCAAGCAAATGTAACTGCACCTTTTAAGAAATATGGACGCATGTTTTTTACCATCAGACTTAAACATCTGATCATTTTAAATGAAATTTCAATCATATAACTCAAAAAAGTTGAGTTTAGGGCATCACATGATCATGATGCTACTCTCAAATTCTTGGTGGGCACAAAAAGTTTTCTTCACAGATTTTTTTTTTTTTTTTTTTTTTTTTTTTTTTTTTTTTTTTTTAATTTATTCTACGGGAGGTACATCAACATATTTTAATGAGATCTTCTAGCTTGTTCTTTTTACTACGCCACATACATTTTATACACTTTAAACTGGATTTAGTTCACTTGTGTGGTGAATACTTTTGTCAAATCTGAATTAAAAAATTCAAACGATTTTAGCCATGTTTATTTCTCAAATTTTCTGATAAAAGAGTTGCAGGAACGGGCTTAAAAGGTCTAAAAAATAATTTCTTCAAAACCTCTTTCTATTTTTCTGTAGTTCCCTCGTAACAAGCGATTACATATATATTCTGTAGCATGTAAACTCTACTCTCATTCAAGTCTTAAGATCAGGAGACTTAATTTAACGTGCGTGTTTTTTCTTTACCTTAAATTTAAGTTGACTTGTCATCGGTTTTCAATCCTGTCAAATCAATGTTAACATTGTAGTGAGACTTTCCTCGTCTTGAAAACTATATGTTATGCTGGAACAATTGTATTTAAACTGTTAATCTAGAATATACATTGGAACTGTGAATACTAGAGCGATTTTTGTAAATATTGAAATTAAAGATAAATCCGTTTCTAATATTTATTTGGTCTTAGCAGTACTTTAATTACCTTACTAATCAATTTCTCTCTTTTTCCCACCAAACTTAACAATACTGGGAGATTTCAATATTGACTTGAATAATTAGCTACGTGCAGGGTGTCCACTGGTCCGGAAATATTAACGATTTTTTTAGGGCGGTCCAGAAGTACTGAAAAAAGTACAGAAATTGTGCAAATGTCCAGAAGGTCTGGAATTTTTTGCCTGGTGCCATGCGGGTATTTTAAGACGCCCCTGAAAAGTATGCAATCCCTTGCGTATTGATTCTTAGTGCAATATTTGTCTACAGGATTGTACTTGGACGTATCTCTGTCAAATGGAACTAAGCACCAATTTGAGTTCCTTTTGAGGAATTTAGAATGCCGGATAGCTGTCTGTCAAACGGACCTAAGCGCCATGGAAAAGCTTTGAGAGTATAGGACGGAATTATCCCGGCGTCCGGTTCCGCCGCCAATCCAGGCCCCCCTCTACCTTCCTCACCATATGGCGCTTAGGTCCATTTGACAGAAATACGTCGAATTGTTCATCAGTTGATACGCAATAAACTTCGAATTTCGTGGCTATGGCATGTGTAGTCTATTCCCGCATGAAATTTGATTCTTCCAAGTTCTCACGAAGGCCCCGAAAAAGTATTGAATATTTTTGTTGAAAAGGTACTGAATTTTTTGGGAAAGTTCTAGGATTGTACAGTCAGAGTACTCCTCCTGTTTCTCCAACCAGTTTTAGTAGACACTCAGAAAGTGGCAAAAAATCGATAAGTAAGTTAGACAAGGCATTTTGTTCTGAGCATCAATGACAAAATGCTGCATAGGAAGTTGATGGTCACCTACAGTACCAACACCTCCAGGATTTTTGGAAATTTTTTTTGGATGGAAAAAAAAGTAAGAATAGAGAAATAAACTTTGTATTGAAAAACACTACAAAATCAAACCTTAACTAAGAAAGTTAGTTTTCCTGATTACATAATTCAGCTTTTTGATCTTTTTCACAGTATCTTCTGTCCATTTCACGCAGATCTTTAGCCATGTTTTCTTAAACCGAGAAATAATTTTCTCAATTTTTTGTGAAGAGACAGTATTTAGGAAATTTTGGACAGCATTAATTTGGCTCCATCCTACTAATGGCTATTCCCAATATCGGAAAAGACTTCAAAGGCGAGAGGTTTGAGTTCATTTCCAAAGTTCAATGTGCTATTCGAAGTTTCTGAAATAAACCACAAATAGCAGTCCCTTGTTGCAATATGTATTCCAATTGCTCAGGAATGCTGAATCAAACCGGAGATAATAATGGTTTTAAATTGGATATTTAAAAATCGTAATTCTAAGAAATATCCATTAAAGTGGATGAATATAAGCTGAGATGTTACGGGCTAAACGTTGTTAATATCTCTAGTGCAAAATAAGTTTTCTACTAGAGCAAAAATGGCATTCACAAATGAGCAACATTTGCAATGCAGAACTACTGTTTCTGGGTCATTTTAAAAACAGAGGTGGTGCCACAAGTACCTATTTTGGAGATTTTTAAATATTGCCATTGAGATACACATTTTTTGCTTTCAGCAATTGATATTCAGAAATTTATTCATGAATTCCTTGAATTATCTCATTTTGCAATATCTTAAATCATTATTCCAATGACATAATATTTATTTCATCTCCTTGTCAGTATATGCTAGGAGAAAAGAACTGAACCTACTGTATACTTGCTAGATTTATTATTCACCGAGGAAACTTATAATAAATGTTCCAATTACATTGATTCTTCACAATATTATCAAACAACTGGTGATATTTAGCAAAAGAAGGAATGTCCTAATTTATTTTTGATGTGTCCGTTAACTTTCATAGGTAACAGTGATTTGGGTAGGTACTTCTCGAACTCTCACTTGGAGTAAGACGTGTCAAGATTTATTTATTATTTTAAAGAAGCACGGCACTACAATTTCATTTATACACCAATATTGCTTCAAATTCCTGAAAAATAAGCGTCTTACACAACGTTACAGCAATTGATGGTTACTCCTGAAACAGCTCATTTCATTTGCGGAATACGAACCGTTTACATGGCGAAGGACAATTAAAGAAAGCCCTCATGGCAGGATCAGGAAAAGGACAGTTTTGAAGTGTATCTTGTACACTAGGCTCTGGACAAATGTACTTCCGGCCTAACTATCACAAGCGCCATTTGTTCTCAAGCACCATGCTGCCAAACTTTTCAGACTTGTCTAATTTTTTATGGAAAACTTGGTGGATAGTCACATGAAAATTTTACCGAATATTTATTTTGTTATCAATATTAATCAGTGAAATTTTCATGAAATTATGTGCAATAGTTTTAGAGAAAAAGTTGAAACAAAATTGAGATATCCCTCGATATAGCATCCAGGCGTAAATGGCGCTCGAAATACTTTGACCGAAAAGCGACGACTTGTCACTGATAAATAATTAACTTTATGTCTTTGGAAAGAAATAAATCCTTTCAAATATACATATATGCATATATTAAGCTTTGAAGTATATGAATCGAAATTGCAAAATCATCAATTCATCTGATTTTTGAGCAGTAGTCTCAAAGAACATAAGATGAACATCTAGAGCTTATTCCGGCATAAAAAAAAGAAAAAAGAAAAAAGAAATCAGTTTATACTCTTTCATTTCAAGCATACACCGTATCCTTTAGCAATTGTTTCAAGTATTCCAGCCCATCCGGAAGTGATTAGAAAAATGTTTTCACAACATTCATGCCAAAACTAACTTTGCAGTTGCAGCATCGTTGCAAAACTTTCTGTTGCAGTAACGTTTTTGTAACATTGGTTTTGATGGTGGCCGGATGGGTACTTGGAAATTACACCCAAATCACAGTGGCAATCATCATCTCACTCCGCACAACTTGATGATTACCTATTTGTAGCCTTCACCAACAAAGTCAATTGATTTCCAACATTTTGAAAAAACATTCGGGGTAGGTAATCGAACAATACAATGACACCTTGATGGGTTAAGTCCTTTCCCATCAATCATTATACCAGTCCAAGAAAAGTAAAGAGAATGACATGACTACCAGAAAGAAAAGAACGTATGCTCTGAGACTTGCATTATTTCTGTTTGCTTCTCTGATTTGTTGATTTCCATCTAAAATGTTTTCAGTGGTTCCTATAACAGTGCTTCCAATCCTTTCAATATCACGGCTTTGCTCCAAAACTTTTTCAGTCAATAATTCCTGCAACTCAGCTATTTTCACAACTTTACTCTCTACCTGTTGAACCTGGAATTCAGAGAGACAAAGAGTAAGAGACAGTTTAAAGAAGAGGAAGCAATCAGTGAAACTAAAAATATTTTCCTGAGTATTCCATCTGCATCTATTAGAGTGTTTATTTTCATTTAAAAGTTTGTCGCGTGATCATTATCTTAAGATAGAGCAATATTGTTGCTGGCACAGTCATGTCAATCAAACTCAAGGACAGACTAGTTACTAAAATTTTGTGTTCGTAGTCTGGACTGAGCTGAAATGCAGCTATATGATAGATCGATTGTAACACTAGATTTTCTAATCATGCCCTCATCTTCTTGGATAACCAATAGGCCATTACCTCTTCCCTGGGTGATGGACACCCAATGATAGATTCACCAAGAAATCAAGCAGTACAACGAACCAATCACATGTTTTCAATCTAGATTAGTTTCATTTTATTCAAAAGAAAAAAAAAGTTAAAGAATTAGCATACAGTAACATTAAAATTTAGCAAGACATTTATAAAAGACCTGACAAATAGTTTTGAGTTTAAGAATGATGATTGAAGGTCCCAGAAAAATTGAAGATTAATTTGAAACATCGGCATCAACTGGTCAAACTAACCGTTTTTTATTGGATTCCTTGATAACATGTGTGAAAATATTGATTTATCTAGTTACAGTAATCCATGTTTGTTAATAAGTGCTGAAGATGGTGCACAATGCCCAGAAAAACTACATTGTATGTAAGTAATTAAATAAGCAACATTACCTTTTGCAATGCCTTGGCTGTACTATCTAAATGAAATGGATTACATTTTTTAAAAAGGAACCAAGTGCTAATGTCGCTAAGATTGTGCAACTTTTTTCACCTTACAAACGTAATTTAATCTTCCAATTAAGTTGTATCTTTACTTCTAAGAAACTATAAATTCCGGAAGAAAATTACCCGGGTGATTTTAATTTTTTGCATGATTTTAGAAACTTTATTGCGAAGAATATAAGTTTCACAATCCTAGCAACATTGGAATGCCCTTGGTTCCTTTTTGCAAAATGCAATCCAAATAATATTGGTATTGCTACTTGCAACCATGTCCAAGAGCAGCTTTATTGAAGTGTGTTACCATTTCAAAACAAGCGGTAGCTTGCCAGCAAGAATTTGTTTAAAAATCCCTATCCCTACTCTTATAAAATTTTGAAAAATACTCACTTCATCTGAGACACAGTTGAGTTCATTATAGAGTAGCTCATTTTCATTCTCAAAGATCTGCAACTCTTCGGCCGTTAACTCCTCTTCAATTTGGCTTCCCAACTTTGAATCGTCAATGAGTGAAGGTATTCGTCGCAATCTTGTTCCTTCCATATTCTTATTTTCATGAGACTCTTTAGCATTCTCGTTCAATACATCACTTAGAGGTTCAGAAATTAGCTTCGACATTTTTTGCAAGTCCATGCTTCTTTTCATTCGAATGGCCTTCTGCTCTGAGTAAAGTTTAATGACAGACTTGAGGTACTCATCTATTGATTCAATGACAGCATTTTGATGCTCTAATCTTTGACTAGAGAGTTCTGAATTTCTCAACACTATTTCTTTCTTGAAATCTTCAAGAATATTTCTACAAGAAAGAATGATAACCTGCGCCCCAGAGTCAATTTTGTCTCTCTCGAAGTCACTTATTTGTGCAATATTCGGTAAGGTATTGGTGAAATTGAGGTATGCTTTTCTATGCTCTAACAAAAAGTCTTTCAGCTTTGAAATCTGTAAAATAATATCTTTGGCTTTGATGGTGAATTCATCCCGTTTTCTCCTGGAGAGAATACTATTCTTATCAGTGTCTACTGAGCCCAGTCCAAGCGCAATATTCTTAGTGCGAACCGTTTTAACACATGCTTTAAATAAAGCTGTTATATCCATGGTGGAATTTGATCTGAAACAAAAACCAGACATAGCATCATAAAAGGAGATCGTGAGACATTTTTTTGGAAAGAAATAGGTTCAGTGTGCCTGAGAGTTCAGCTCAGTTGTGCTGTGTGTTCAGAGTTTAGGTTGTTCACAATTATTAGGAACAGAAAGAAGTACCTCAATCAATTGAAAATTACTCAGAATTCAAAATTTGGCCTAAAGACTTAACTAGAGAGACTTTAAACTGAAAAAAATTACCAAATATCAATTGGGTAGAAGAATGATAATAGATTCTACCTGACTTAGATAAGTCAAGGAAAAAATGTGTGTCAAATATTCACCAATTCAACTACTAAATTTTCTGGTCTTTCTCATTTTAATCATCTTTCAATCATTCTTCAATCATCTATTCTTTTCAGAACTATTAATGATGCAGATCGTAAATAACTGGACCTCCAATAATCAAACATCAAATAAATCTCTATTGCGCATCAAACAGATGAATATGGATAAAAATTATCCGAGTTCATAAGGAAAACAATGAGATTACAGTATTTTACAAAGCTTCCTGTAACAGGTAGGAACGAGCTTTTTCAGGATTCTATAGATACTTGCAAGATAGTAATCTGAAATGCGCATCACAATCTGTGCCTCCTCTGATAATGGACTGTTGATCATGTAGATCGTTAGAGTAAGGAAGAAATGAATTTGCAATTGAGGGAATTGGAGGGCAAGCTGCACAAGTACAGTTTTTGAAAAAATTGAGATATTAATGATTTTGAGTAAAACTAGTCTTATTGCATATTTTGTGAAAATTTGGCTCCTAAATTCCAATTTTAAAGCATCAAAAAGTCAGTTTGAACTTCCTTTCCAACATAAAGCTCCATGACATTTCGAAACTTCAAAATACTTCAAATAGCAAAAACTGCACATATGCGCCTTATCCTCCAAGCCCCTCAATTGACTACTAGACATGGTAGGAAAAAAATCATGGCAGCAAATTCTTCTGTGTTGATATATTACGTGGTTAGATGCTCAAAAATGTCCAAATTCAATCCATACCAAAAAAAATCAGTGTTTCTTTAGTTTGTAAATTTTAACTTCCTCCTGGCAAAACTCCTGAGTCTACTTGATTAAATTGAGTGCAACCTGAATATAATTCCCAATGATTTTATTCCTCACTGTGCTACATTTGATTTTACTGACTCACGAGTGCTGGGTACCAAAATAGGAGAAAAATTTCTGCGAGACCCAATGCCAGCTGAGGTCTTATAAAATGATTAGTGGTTGTATGATTTGAGGGTCCATTTTATTGATATTGATTCTCCTTGTGAGCTGGATTAATAAATCAATTAACTAATTCTAAACGTCAAAAATATGTGCTTATCTCTCATTCAAGAGCTGATTTCAGAAATGTTCAATGCGTCAACGTGTTATCAAATTTTGATAATAAAACATGATTGTATCACTATCCTTATGTTCTTTCCCTACCTTGTGGTTCCTAGTAAACAATAATCGATAGGCTGAGCTTCCCACTTATTGTGGTTTAAAAAATACCACAGATTAGTGAAAAATACTTACGTATAAGGGATAAATTGACAGCAATATATGGAGCAAACAGTTTACTGATGTGGCGCAAAATTCAGGGATGGATTGTGAACAACATAATATTTATGGGTTTTATTTTACTACTGCTTACAAGTTACACTTTGGAGTTCGTGTTATAGCTGGCAGTGGTTGAATCTTGAATGAACAACTTTGAAACTTTGATAAAACAAGAAAAAGCTGAGGAAGGATTGAAGAACTTCCTGTTTATTTACTTGTGATTTTCGCCCAATCGTGGAGTACCTAACCTCAAAATATGTCAATGACGTCACCGCTTTCAGGTCAAAAAAGGTAAACATAACCTTCTTTGCTTTGCCATGCTTTATTGCTTTTTTGATTTTAGAGCAAGAGATATTTGACAATTTTGGGCAATGAAGCAAAGCCAGATTTCGTAATACGAACCTTTCTCCATTAGTAAAAAGTAATATCAGTGGAACAAGATTTTCTTCAATCAAGTATGAGAAAAATATATATAATAGTGTGATATCAATTTTGTGAAGTGCATCAAATCAAACATTTTTATCCAAAAGTCGGAGCTATCCAAGTGAACTTCCAAAACTTTGTCCTGTCACTATTTTTTAAATTGCATTGACTTTATCATGCCTTTGCTTACATCTTTGTTTCGTACTACCTCCAGCTTGAGACACAGCACTGTCCCTCGATCACACTCCCGGTTTTTCAAAAGTGCTTCAAACACAACTGTCGAAAGCACCGCATCTAGTGCAGCTTCCAGTGGTGAAAATGTTGCCGTCGCCCAGAGCGCTGAAAAGGAACGGATGTTGACAAGATTGAAGTTGTACTGGAAGGCATTGTATAGAGACTACAAGGATGTTTTAGTTGAAAGTCTAACAACCATCAAGAACAACCCATTGAAATCATCAGTCTACGGTACTCTAGCCGGTAGTTTGTATTATTGTTGTAAAACCAACCCTGATGAACGAATGTTTCGAAGCTACCTTTTATCTTGTGCAAACAAAATGAGTTTAATTGGTGCAGGTGTTAGGAATCCCAAAGCTGCGGATCATTTAACATTCATTGAAGGCAGTTACAACGCACGCGTAGTAAGGTGGATGAGTCTAGGTATTATTTCTCTAATTTGGTTGGATGATCACTCAAGTGAGTTATGTGTTTATAAAGCAATTTGTCCTCATCTGGGGTTGGATTATTTTTCATTTCACCAAAGAATATTGGATGTTGGATTTTTAGGACGCTGGTGGATTTTAGAGAAAAAAATGGAAGATTACGATATCAATCCAGATGAATGGCCAGTAGCTTCTTGAAATGGCATGCCAAAGTGAATTTAACTTGTTTTTGCTGTAGAAAGTTGTACATACATACTGCAGAGTGTTTTGTTATCATTTGTGATTAAAGATCTGTTAAATAAAATTGTTTTAATGTTATCAATTGAATCAGATTTTGTTACTTTGTGAATTCCAATGCCAGCCTCTGGTGTTCATCTCAATGTATATAATTTAAGTTACATAGTCTTTGCCCAAAATTAAATTTTAGTTAGTTAAGAGAAGAGACTTTTCATAGACAGTCAGTGAAGGGATTAGTTAATTGGTGATCTAACTCGAAAATCACCCACCTCTTGCAATTGAATCAGTGAGAATGAAAACACATCAACTTAGTAACTCAAAAATGTTCAATTTTCATTATAGAGTCAGTTTTCATAAAAGACATTGAATTTAACGCATCTGTTCCATCTTGGACCTTTAAAGTGTCCTTAAGTACTTGTTCCTTGGCACCAAAAATATTCTTCTTGTGCTAACTTCTTCAACTACTGAATAGTTTAGCGTGTTTCTTGAGTATTTCCATTTTTTCGAGTTGGTGTGTTTCCGTTCTCACTGATTCAATTCTGGTGCTGATTGCCGGGAGGGCACTTCTCAGTCGCAATGTCTCGGAATCTCAGTTACTATTTATGTCTTTTAGAAGAATCTGATGGACAGTTCTTCAAGAATTTTCTCTAAAGAATAGTTTAGATCCACAATTTGCACACACATGATGAAATGAAACACCACAATGAAATGCATGAATTTACTTTTCCCACTGTTAATGAAATATTTGAGGTCTCACCGAATAAGGTTACGCATTTTCAGACTGCAGCAGAGGATCCACCTTCTTGATTCTTGCATTTGCCTTCAATGCTAAACTTACAGCACACAAGTCTTGTGTTGCAGCGCTCATTTTACATAGACTCTAGTTGTGATTCTGAGACATAGCAATCGAGAAACGCTCTTCCTGCACTCAATGCCTTTGCAACGGTTCAAAATGTTGAAACCTACTTCAATCTTCTGAAAATATTAAATTTTCTTTGTTTTCTTTGCCATTTATTGGTCATCTTTTTAATAATTTTAGTCATTATGTGATTCGTTTTTCCATCTAGTACTAAATATAAATAATAGAAATTTATATGAACGGAGTAGGTGTGTGTGGAGATTTTGAAACCTTACCACTGAGAGGCTTGGATCAGGAGTCAATCTTTCATATCAAACATTCAGGAGACGCTTTAGAATTGAATAAAAATATCTTCGATAACATACAAGTTTCCCATTATCTTTTTGCAATGAGCTACCAGACAAAGGCGTGGAATGAAACACTATACAACATGTGTCCTGTTCAAGATTTTACAGAGGAAACGAATCGCACAACGGGGAGTATGGAAATCAACTCCTGATGAAGATATAATCGTTTACAATCAAGAATCAATAACGGGACTTAAAAGAGAAAACACATGCCACTTTTTTCTCTAGTCCAAACCTTGGCTAGTGGCCCATTCGACCAAATATTCAGAAAGGAACATAATGACCTCTAATTTTCTTGCGAGATTGTGTAACAGCTGATTTAACACTGCCTTTTTATATGTAGGTGAATCTTCAATAATCTGAATTTGAACATAATATTAATATTCTTCGGCTATCATGACATAAAATTGTCAATAACTTAGCATGCCGAACTGATCCAAATTTTTTAAACGCAATGAAAAATAAAGAACTTGGCCAAAAAAGTATTTTTAATCCATGATTAAATTCATCTCTGAACCAAATGCAGGTTGAAAAGTTAAATGGCTTCTTTGCAAAATCGAAAAAGGTCACGTATCCATTTCAGTTAGCCTCCTTTGGTACAGTAGTTGTAGCGCTTGCCCTAGGATGCAGCAAAGATTTGTTTACATACTTCCAAGCCAAATGTCTAAAGTTTTATGATATAAAAGAGGGGTCGCTCAAAGCTGATGGCTGATGAGAAATTCAGAGAGAGGAAGGATCATTTTGATTTACACTTGGTATCGGTCCATCGGAACTAATTGAAATACAAAATTAAATGAAAATAAGTAAGTGTGGTCTCTAATGATACCACTTTTGTAAAAATTTTCGGTATTTTATAACTTTGGGGGTAAATATGAACAAAAAAGTATTTTGATAAAATAAATTTTTCGGAGATGAGATAATGATTAAAAGTTGCTGTTTCCTACGCATTAGCAGTTAATCCTTTACCCTTGTCATTTTTATCTATTATTTTTTATTTTCATTTTTTTATCAATAAGAACATAAACACAAGGAATTTTTAGGTTGCTTTTGAAAAAGTCATTCTAATTTCAAATCCTTCTTTCACAAAGCAATGAAGTTGGACATACCACCATCATTATATTACAGCTGATTGCTCCCACAAAATTAGCCTCCCTAGCCATGAAGGGGGCGCCCAGAATGGCTAGTTATATATTAAGAGCTGTAATATTGCTCATGGGAACCAATACCTTGATTACGGAGACATTAAGCAGTAGGTACTGAATTTCAGCATGAAGAGGAGTAAACTTATTTGAACTCTAGCACATAGAATCCTAAACATATTACCCTAATCTGAGTTTAATACTTAATATCATTTGGACAGCATTGATCAGGAAAATTGCAGGAGCTTAAAATAATTGAATGAAAAGAAAAGGTTCTTTAAAAAAAACATTGTTCTAATTGAATTCAACCTTACAAAAATCAAGGTAGGCATTGTATTCACAATATGTACAAAAAGCCTTTGAAAAGGAAATATTAAACCTAAGGAACTAGATTACTTTGCTTTGGGTTTTTTGGCTGCAGCTTTGGTATTCACACCAAAAATCGGGTACTTGGATTTACTGGAGTACCATAGCAGGAATGGGAGACCAACACAAGGAAGCGACATTAATCCAAAGAAGAACCAGTCAAACTGCAAAAAAACACAACATAGGAATTAAAAACAGTAAATAGAAAATTAATGTTTTCTTTCTTGACAAATTGTCATCTGCAGGAGCATATCTACATTGCGCTGTTTCGGTATTGCTTGCTCGCACTAGGCTCGTATTCTATTTGTTTACTAAATAGCCGTTGCATAAATTTTCTGGTGATTTTTCTTTACCCTTTTGAGAAAAGACTCGGAAATTTTCAGACTAATTCGTTAGACAGTTCTCTCATGAAAAAATATAATTTTTGTAGAAAGACTGAATTAGCGTAGACAAAATATGATCCTTCCTTCCTGAAATGATGAAATGGATCGTGAGCAATCTATTGGTTGGACCGGCACATGATTCCAGAACCTCCTAATAGTTTAAAATGGAACATACCAACCAGGAAGCAATTGATTATTTGGTAACATTGGAATCACTGCCTAAGTTTATGGTAGAGATCACTCATAGAGTCAAGACTAATTCAGTGAAGTTCTTTGCATTGCAATCCTCTCTGTTCTAGAGCTGGCTTTGGATAATTTAACACTTGTTTACTTTCGGTTTGCATGCAACAGCACTGCTGCCCGTTATTAAAGATTGAGGATTGACTAAAAACGACACGGTTGCTGGGTACAAAAGTCAACTTTTAAGATGTGAGTTCCCTTTACAACATCTTAATCATTTTATCTCTTTGACAACCATTCCTCTGACAAAGGTGAATTTGACAAATCTTTTCCTTATTTTTCCCTACTTGCAACTCATTTAGTACTCAATCCAAACGACTAGCTTCTATGTGCATCACTTGAACAGTGGATATGGTTTTTCTCATGAACTGTGTTTAAAGTAGCATGATCTTCAGTCCCTGCTCATTTATTCGGGCTTTTTGCCAGCAGACACATAACTACTTCCACGATACACACAAGCTATGAAAGACTTGGAATCCGAAAATCTCAAAAAAGGTGAGAGAGACAACTAAATGCCAATGATATAATAAAATATCTGCAAGGTTCAATGGTTCATGTTAAAAAAACTTCTTTAAGGTTCCACACAAACCAGATGCTCAAAAAACCCACTAAGCACATTATTTCTTGAGGAATAAAACATTCAATAGGAAAAATTACGCACCAAATGTGGAGAGAATTTCTTATTGAAGTCTTTGAATGGGATGACCATTCCTTCTCCGGGCTCACTGGTGACGGCCCATTGCAGCTGGAAAATCAGAGGTATTGACAAATTAAAGTCAAGAATTTTAAACTTCAAAAGGACCCTATGCGGAAAACTAAGGAACATAGCTCCGCCTATGGGTAAGTACATATCGTTATTGTTTGATATGAAGTTTTCTACAAAATTATGATTTCCCAAGCATGATGAGATTTTATGATCAAACTTTATGGGTGCTAATTTCAAGAAAAGCAAGGCTAAGAAATGAATTCTTCAGTAATTTTAAACACAATATCTGGTAAAAGAATAGGTAAATAAGTAGAGCTCCTCTTTCTTCCTTCTGAACTAGGCAAGAAAATTTGACAGACTGCTTCAGAGCAAAAGGCTCCGTATATCTGATGAAACAGCAAAGCCATGTCTCCATGAGAAAATGAAAGTACAAAGGCTACAAATCCACTTTACAATCCTACTTTTCTTCCATTGTTGAATTTGTGATACTTATGTTGAAATTAAAACATTTCAGAGACCCATGAACCTTTTTTTCCTCTTAGTCATGGTGCTATTTTCAGCTTACTGACAGTCGTGAATACAGTCTTAAATCCACTGATCATAAGTTAATCTCTACGTATTTTGGAATTTTTAAACACACCCTTCCATAACATTCTTCACATCTTCACTTTTCTTGGAGGGACTAATCTGTTTGTCCATAGAAATACTTCTTCAACTCCTCCTTCTCCTTGAGAAACGTTAATTGTTACTTGATCAGACCTTAAGTGAAGATGTACGTGTTGCAGTAGTGGTAGAAGCAACAAAAGTATATTTTGGATCATGATAGTTCATAAAAAAAGCAAATTCGTGCATCACAAGTTAACAAAATTACTGTCACTCAAAAATAAAATTATTTACCAACAGGGCGTCTACTAAAACAGGCTGGCTAAAAATCAGTATTTTTACAGTACATTCCTGAGAAATTCATTACCTCCTCAACAGAAAAATTCAGAACTTTTTCAGTACCTCTATTTGACGAAAGACAAAAAATTTTGAAAATTTAAGTCTCTCGCTTGAATTGCAATGAAAATGACTTATTGTTAAACCGAAAACTTCGTTGGTGGCTTGAAGATTGACTGACTGCATAATCGCGATCTCGCGGGAAAATAGTACTCTTAGAATCAACGCGCAAGGACTTCATACTTTCCATGTTTTATTAAAAACCCTGTTTGGTATGAAAAGAAAAATCCCGGACCTCCTTGCAGAAAGTCCGCTCTTTTTCAGTGCTTCAGCACCGCACTTAAAAAATCAGTACTATTTCCGGACTTTCCAGAAATTCCAGACTAGTAAACAGCCTGGCCATGCAGTCAGGATTACATGGGGGGGGGGGGGGAGCCATAAGAGCTGCTTTTTTTAGCTGCAAAAATTTGCGTTTAAAAAGCTGTTCCAGGCAAGATTTTAAAAGTGATTACATCATTTTATCTTTCATTTGTTAGATCTTGTGAATTGTTCCATACAGCCTCAAGATACATCACCAAAATATAGAACTGGCCCTTACTGCAGTGAAATACAGGTTTATTTCCTTCCATATTTACTACATCTTTCAGCGGAGTATCAGTATTTGCAGTGGTTCTGTACTCGATGCCTCCATCCACCACTGGTTGGTCCGAATGAATGGAACATTTCGTTTTAAAATAAATGTTGTGGGAAGTTAAACAAAAACTTACAGATGATGCTGATTCTGATGACTTGTAAGAAACTTCTGCAGCTGTGAAATTGTACATTCCATACTTCTTCGGACGAACAACAACAACATGTGTCACATTTGAAAAGGGTGGGATTCTATCAAGAACTACATTCAACTGTCCACCAGCTATTGTGAACAATTCCTGAGGAAAGCTGTTGTCTTTCAATGAGATTTGTAATGCAGCACTGCCACCAATATTTTGGAAAAAGTACTGAAAAAAAAAGCAACACGTTCACTGAAAATTGTCTTCCAATAGGTAAGCAGGATGCCAAAATATTTACTAAGGTACTTGTCGAAGGTGGTAATATTTCAGGCAGACTAGGCAGTCAGGCTGAGTAAGTTACAACCAAAGGAGTGCGATTATCTTAGAAGTTTAACAAACGCTTCTCTAGTGGTCATCTTTTCTTTTTTGTACCACTATTACTTGCTGAGAAGACAAACATAGTATTTAATTGCACAATGTCCTTAAAATTGGTGGTATATTCTAAATGGTACAAGAATTAGACATGGCGGTGTAGTTGGCGGTACATGTAAAACCATTTTGGTCACATTTCACACAGCTCTCTTCTTAGAAATCTTGCTTAGTAAACCGTAAACTGAAAAGCTATAGGATCTGCCCAAGAATTTGTAGGTAACGGAGATTTGGAAAGAATTCAATGGCCGTCTTTTAGTTTACTTTTGTCTCATAACAGGTAGCACCTGCAAATGTAAGAGGCTATGGCACTTTACTAAAGCAGCCTGATCTTTATTAGCTGTCATAGGTATCAATTGGACCGAGTTAAAGAGAAAGGAATCAAGCCACATCAGCTATTCCCAAATTTAACAGGGCAATTAAATTTTTAACGAGAGAACGTTCGTGCGGATTCCTTTAAAATTTTTGGAGGAATTTGCTTTGTACTATGGAGAATTTAGACTTTAATTTGAACAAAAATCCGCACAGTCGTTTTCATGTAAAAAATTAAATTGCCCAATTAAAGTTGGCAATAGCTGATGTGGCTAGGTTCTTTCCTGTTCAACGCGGCCCAATTGATAGGAATATAAGAATGAGCCATTTTATCCGAAGTTGTCTTTGTAAAAATGTTTCTGTCGTGGCATTTCCAAAATACGATCCCTAGAGATGATGCAAAGCATGAAACAAACAATCTGGAAAAATCGGTGAATCTTACCTTAACTAAAATATCCATATCCTCCACTAAGTACCTATTCAGTATTTGCTTGGCTATGAGTAGTCGTGCAGGATCATCTGTTTCATTGGCGTAGGCCACTGAGAACAGGGCTAAGAAAGCAAACACCGTCGCCTTCATGTTCATCCTTAAATTGAAAGAGAGATATCAATGACGATTAGGTAGGTCAATTGTGATGAGATCAGGCAAAAATCAGGAAATTAAAATAGGAAACACATCACGAATAATGATTATAATACAATCTAAGAGCTAGAGCATGCAATTTAAATATTTTCTGAGAGAGAGCACTAAACAGGAATTAATGAAATTACTTCAAGATATGTAAAAGAAGCGACTTACTTGGGAGCTGGAGTAGAAATAAATGTTAGCGTCATAACTTTTATGGTTGCGTGGATGTCTAGGTTATGTTGTCAGCGGTTGACTCCGGCTTGTCTTGCCACGTTTACAAGTTGGCCTCCAAATATCCTGATTCCGCAACTTCGGCTGATTTTGTTTTTTTATATTCAACAACATTGTACTTCTTCCAATGTGTTTCAACTTTCAACGCGTTATCTTCACGGCTCTTCAGAAAAACGTCGAAGCGGCACTTGAAATTTTTATAATTCGAAGTAAGAAATTTCAAAGCAAAGGCAGGAAAATACGAACTGCTCAGACGCCCGGGGGGGGGGGGGGTGTTTTCAGCGTTTACAAGTTTCCTTTTTTTCGGCTTCTGACTCATCCGTGCAAAGTTGCACAGTGAAGGGCAGATTCGTTTTAAAAAAGGTGCGACTCGCAACAGGGCAAAAAAAAATGAAAAAAGTCAAGGAATGTGAATCGTAAATTTTTGTAACTGAACGGGAGGGGAGGGCGGGGTAGGGTAACCCACTTTTACAAGCGGTAACCGCGAAATGTATCTCGATAGAGTTTATCTAATTTTTTAATTATAACTTCGTCTTTGGAAAAGATACGAAAAACTGAACGAGTTTGAAAACTCAGAAAATGCAGAGGCCTGAAATTCTTTTATAATTAAAATTTCACAGTAATAAAATAACGGCATATTCTTATTGAGCAACAGAGTGAAATTTGGTTTTTGGTGGTATTCGGAAGGTTGGTTTCTTGAGTTTTGATGATGTTCGGTAGTTCAGTAAAAGTAAATATCGTCGCTCACGGAACAGTTTTTATCATTTCCGCAAGAGAAGATTAATCTGTATCCTGCTAATTGTGCATTATACAGTGTTATAATTCGCAAGTAAGTTAAGATTCTGCATAAGTTAATCATTTCCTTTCATTTTGTGTACCTGAATGCGCTAGTTTTTCGCCAATTCGCCGATGAATATTACACCATTTGCTACGTAACTTGGCGAGTCCTTGTGGAGGATGGACAAGATAATTTCGTGTTTAAGTCCCAAATATTTACTTCGAAGTCATGTGTTTTTCATGCGTAAGGTTTGTCTTTCATTACTCTTCATTTATCATCATGTAATCGAGGTTGATTCGTGCCTCGGACTTGGTTCACTCGGCAGAGCCAAGGGCTTCAATTCAACCTTAACCTCCAAAGAAAATAGGCTTCATCACTGGCAGAACATCTTATTCTGGCTATTATTTGGATATAAAGCGTTTTTCTCGCTTTTATCATCATGGGTTTTAGTTGCCCTTAACATTTATCTAAGATTTTACATAGTCTTATTCCAATTTGATACTCTGAACAATCTCTACACTCGAAATATGTTACGTCTGAATGGGAGTCTAGCTTGCATGCTTTCTCCCAGGTTCTAGAGTTTCCGCTTCTTTGCTGTGTAGTAACTGTCAAAGTCTCTAATTTTTGTATTTAAAATGTCTCATCAAGGCTCTAACCATGTTCAGGTTAAGGCAGTTATCAAATTAGTAAGTAGCTACTCTTTGAAGTCGGTGGCCTAGTTTTATGCAAATGTTTTCTTGGTAAGAAATCAAGCATGATTTTTGCTTGTTAAGCATTTTACCTGAAAGGTGCAGTGTCAGGTAGTTTTATGGTGGAGATCTTCCATTTTGTTTCTGTAAATTCATAGGCCACTTTTGAAAAATATTTCTCACGGTGTAGCGGTAGTTTTGAATTATACTTCAGTAAATTTTTGGGACTAATCACGAATACTACTGTAGCCCACTACAAGTAGGTACACTCTTGCTTATAGTGAGACAGAAGGTCTACTATCTTGGCCCTCCACTCATTTTCATTGCTAAAGAGACTGATTTACATAGTGATTACGTCAATCATTACATGGTCGCAACATTGTCCACTATGAACAAATGCAGGAAATCATCGATATCAAAACAATTTGTTTTTTTCTTGTTAGACTAATCCAATATTGAATGATGTAGTCGTTCAATCAGTCTATTGAAGACTATGAACCCTAGGCCATGCTTTATATGGCATGAACTCTTTAACCCATTCGCCTTATTTGACGAGTAGTGCGCGCCCAGGCCATATCTTAGTTGACAAATTAATTCGTGCCATCTGTTGGCGTTGCTACTTGATTGTTTTGGTCGTGTTTTTTCACTTTTCCGAGAGATGGCATCTTAAGCTAAGCAACGCTGACAGATGGCGCGAGTTAACTTGTCAACTGAGATATGTCCCAGGTGCATGCTGAAGAGTATACTGGTCATATGAGGCGAATAGGTCAATACGCATTTACACCAATACTGGAGAAAGCTTTAGCGCTGTTTCATATCTTTTTTTTAAGCAAATCGTAGTCATAAGAAATTTGCTTAATTGAGGTAGCGCATCATGCTAACATACTAGTTTTAGGGAGGTGCGCACATGTTCATAGGTGACAAATTAGGAAATTTGCACATGTGCTTACACAGCATTTTCAATGCACCTTATTGACGAACGTTCTGAAGGTCGAAAATTTTTGGTGGAAGTAGTCGTGCACTGATCTGCAAGAGTACTTAAGGAATTATTGATTGCGTAACGGGCAGGCTGTGCTGAAAATGGGCAGGACTTTAAAGAGTAATAAAAATGTGTCATCTCTTACCCCCATTTTCGCGCATTATCCGCAATTTATGATAAATATTCTGTGTGAAGTTCAGAGTAAGAAACCAAAGGAATCACTTGCAGACATTACTGAAACGCATTAAAATTAGACTGTGTATGTATAAGTTGAGTGAAAAGCTCGACTGAAATGAATCATTTCCAGCACCATTAAATGCATTTTCTAGCACTAACATTACAATACGAGGCTGGCGATTGAGAAAGGCTCTCCTTTCAGTGCCGGCAGGGAATTAAAACAGACATGCACCATCACACTTTTAAGTTTCTTGGCAGTAAAGAAGCATAACTCCACTTAATTATTAAAAGCGGGCAGCATCCATGTCAACTTCAAAACATAGTCTCCTCTTAAAAATTCAACGCAGCGGTGCTGAATAGTCCATAGAGTGCTGAAGCAACCTCCTGCGCATTTTTATGAAAAGAGTATGGAGAATGAATTTTTGTGGAAACAGTCGAACTTCTTTTCCTGCTTTATTTCGTGGAGGTTGCATAGTCAGCGCATTTAGTTTTGGGGGCGGGGGAATCGAAAATTTCTTTGCTTATTGGTTTCCGCGAAAAAAAGTGTCAAGCGCCTCAATTTTCATGAAGAGAACTGTCAACCACCTCGGTTTTTGCAAAGAAAACTGTCAAGTGCATTACTCTAGGAGCTTTAAGTCCTAACAACGTATTTTTTGTTTTTGCGAAGAAAACTGTGATGCACATTCTGAGACAGGCCCTAAGCCTTCTAATAAGGGCATTTTATATGAAAACAAAGAACTTTGTGTACCTTTGGTGATGGTGGAACATTTTATATGCATAACCGGGGCGTAAATGCTGATAAATAAACTTTTCAGCGCAGATTTCTCAAAATTTATGCATACTACTTTGGATTTTAAAGCTCACCAACCTCAGAAGGCCATAAAAAATATTGTACAAAAAAATAAAATAAAAGTTTAGCCAGTGCCAATCGTTATTCTTTTCAAATTTGACCTTCAAAAACAGTTCTGCTCCGTCCCAACGAGGTAATCTGTTCAGGGACCATAGACGCATCATCGTAGCTCAGCAGAATGAGTTCTTTTAATGCTTCTTACATGCGTTTTGGTCTATAAGCAACCAAAATGACTTGAAAACGAGTAAATACAACTGTAGTCCGACAAATTTTGTATAAATTTAAAGATTAAGGTACCGCTATGATTTTCGCCTAGCTGGTTGACGGGAGAAACAATCTAAATGTTCCTCTGATAGAAAGTGAGCAGCCTCAAATCTTTATAAAAGTCACTGGTGATAAATAGAAAGATATTAAATAATAAATTAAGAATCATGAAGAGTGCAATCTACATTTATTTTGTTTTGAATGGAAGGAGGCTTTTTGCTACGGCAATGCATGGGAGCAACTGGTGCACTTGGTCAAAAAAGCAACCGAACTATTTGCGTTACAAATAAGGGAGTATCACAAGAAACAGAAAGCTCTTCAAGTCAAAATCATGCTTCAAAGTGCCTCTCCTTACCCAAAAAAAATTTTGTCAGTATGATGACAACTGTTATGATTTGTTGAGACCACGCGTCAGATGCTTGCAGATTGCCACTAATTGCCAATTGCCTGCGACAAGTACATCTACTTTGCATCATGAAATTTTCAAGGATTTTTAAACTTCAATTCTCTTTTTCTGTAATTGACATTATTATTAATGCGTTGTGGTTTTTCTTTTTTTTCGCAGGTGTTTCGGTTTGTGTTTCAACACAGTGCAAATGCAGCAGTGGAATCAAGAAGTATGAAGCACTTGCATAGCCCCAAGTAGGTACCTTCTTGGACAACCTGTTACTAATTTTGATGCGATAATTATTATCATAATCAATCAAAATGGCTCATCAATGTTCATGGATTGCCAGTGCGTCATACAGAAGCAGAATGCATGCCGAAGTTTTACAATGAGCATTGGTCAATCCATCTTGGAAAGCTTTATTCTCGACTCTTTACAGTCAAGATATTATGCTTTTTCCAGAACATGTAGCCACCAAACAGGAATGCCCATCATTGCAGGTACAAAATTACGCCGATGTTTTTTGTCTCAACAAAAAACATTGCGTGGGTTTTATAGCTCATCAATACACCATCGCTAAAATTGAAATCACAGGTAATACTCTTATGAAGAGTCATATATATACTTCAATCTTTGTTTGTGCTCTGTTCTGAATGGTTTAGTTCTCAGTTGTAGAGAAAGTGAGTGTGACAAGCATATTTTAATTTGAGCTTCTGCACAGTTTGTCTGTGTTTCTCAGTGTTTTGAAAAGTCTTCCCATTGCAGTATTCTCCTCTAACATGCTTTTGAAATCCTAGTTTAAGAAACTTAAAATAATTGAGTAGTGGAAGATGTGCCTCTTTGTTTGAGGGGGCTTTCTTGGCCTCAGATTAGTTAGCATCGTGTTTGAAATGAAAAGGATTCCACCAAGGATCAGGTTTGAAGGGTTGTAAAATGGATCAAGTTGGGGTTGCAAATTTTTTTATTTGTAACCATCCACAGGAAAAGGAGCCCTATTGTGCAAAAACTCAGACTTGCGTTAATGCAGGGTGTCTACAAGTCCAGAATTTCTGGAAAGTTCAGAAATAGTACTGATTTTTTAAGGGCGGTCCGGAAATACTAAAAAAGTGCAGAAATTCCGCAAGAAGGTCTGGAATTTTTTTCATTTTTGTCGCAATTTAAGTGAGAAATTCAAATTTTTAAAATGTTTTGAATTCCATTAATTGGAGGTACTGAAAAAGTACTGAATTTTTCTGTTAAGGAGGTACTGAATTTCTAGGGAATGCACTGTGAAAGTACTGATTTTTGGCCAGCCTGTTTTAGTAGACACCTTGGTTAATGGCACTGAAACATAGGAATGAGTTCTACTAGAATTTGGGGAAAAATTACAAACCAAATAAAAATCATGACGGTTTAGCATTTACAGCTCAGAAAACTGTTTTTAGGTAGAGATATTTAAAGTTTTAATCTATCATATTCATGCCCCAAATTGGCCAAAGTTTAATGCTACTCGACCTCATCATTTAGCCCAAAAATCAACGGTACGACTTGGACCTTATTCTTCAGGGCACCGGGAAGAGTTTTCTGTTGTTATCTCAAAATCTGATTTTTTAACTAATCCCTACCAAAATTGTCCAACTGAAAATTTTCCCTCCCAAGACGATCTCATTCTCTTCTTAATCCCTTGTTAGACGATGTTATGAAGTCTTGACTCTCGATCCTCTTATCTGAGGGTAGGTTTGAGATAGAATGCCTATAAAAATGGTCTCACCGCAATAGATCAAAATATATGTTTTGTATTGAAATTAAAAAAGAAGAATTTCATTGACATTATCTACTGCTGACATTATCTACTGCTGAAATTATCAAATGCTATTTTCAAAGACTCATGATTGATTCTAAAAGTTTCAAGGCAAGGGTGGAAGAAATGCCCAGTCTTGCAATCTACGAAATGCAGCAAACATGAGGCAATTTTCCAAAGTAATGACTGATAAAGTAGGAGTTTCCACTCATATTGCCATAAAATTGGATATTTTTCCATGAGGTTTTATGAAAATTTAGCCATGAGGCAAAACTGCTAGATCTGAAGAAACGGTTGCAGCTTGAAACCTATTGTGCGGCTGCCACAGGCAGGATATCCAAGGGGGGGATCAGAGACTAGCAAGTTGGCCCAGCAACTTTAACTGGTACCATTTAAAAGAGCACAAGCACCTGCTGAGCACCTTTTTCTCTTATTTGGATCTCTGCAAGTAGAGTTTTTGATTAAAGACCAATGAAATATTCATGGGAATCCGGAAATATTTTGATTCAGGGAGTTGGAAAATGAAGTAATTATGGAAACCCATCACACGGCTGCACTATGTTCTCACATAAACTGGCATTGCTTGCACACAACTCATTGCACTATTTTCTCACATAAACTGGCATTGCTTGCACCACTTGTTATTGTGCTGGTAGCCACAATGCATTGCAGTATGATGAGATGAGACGTGAAGGCTTTGAGAGACGGCTGCTGCATTTCTTCCATTGTAGTGATGCTCAACACTCTACAACACAGGGATCCAACCAATTTAGAAAATTATCATTGTATTTACTGAATTTCCGAGTTGAACGACAACCATCGCATGCTCCATTTTTAGCTTTGGCACAGCATGTTCTGGCAACACTTCGTCATACTCATTTTGTTATACGTAATCAGTCACTCTCGGTAAATAGGTGTCCAATTCTACTTTCCTTTCCATCTACGTTTACGTAATAACTAATGCGTTTTGCTGTAAATCTCCATCAAAATTAAGACTACGTGTCTATTACGTTCAGAGAACCACTTTCAGAATTAGAATTTGATTAAACTTGAGTGCAGGAGTCCTTTCCTCATCCTTTTCCAGAGATAATTTTTTTGAGAAGCGGCAAAGGATCACACCTATTTGGAAAAATAAGTAGAAGTGGAGGGAAGCCTGTCAAAACAGTCTGGAAGTAAAAAGCTTTATTCGACCACCAACAGTGTACTTTAAAAAATACAGCTCAACAATTTCAGGGTGTGAGAATCAGAGCACACTGCTTATGGAGAGAAAGGAAGGAAAATTGTAGAAAATTAAAAATTAAATGCTCTTTAGACCCTGACATAAGCTGCCTGATATTCTCCACCAAATTTGTATTTGTTCCATTTATAGAAGGTGCCTCTTTGTCCTCAAGGCAGAAATTAATAATTTTAAATGAATGATTAGTGACATAATAGTATAATGTAACATTTAATACTATTAGAACTAGGAAGGCTATCAGAAAAAATGGGAAGGTAAAAAGCACTCAGCATTGATGGTATGATTTAAAGGCAGCTGTTGGATCTGCATTTATTTTTCATAGATGGTCAAAATATCTGAATATTTCTCAGTTACCCTCTCCTTAAGTTTTTTTCAATTTTAGAACTTTTGATGTTTTTAAAACAGTATTGAGCAAATTTTGCCTGGATTAAAAAGTTCAGTACGTTATTCTGCACTATAGTAGCTTTAGTAAGTAATCGTGAAGGCAATGTTGCTGGTTCGTGAAACAATAAGTATTTATCTTCACACCTGGAATTTACGTGCACGATAAAGGGTGGAGGGAATCCCCCCCAAAACTTGCCCACAGCTGTATGCAGCAGTTTGGTTTTACATATGCGTATCAAGACTGTTTAGTGGTTATCATATGTGGCTAACCATACATGGTTATTCTAGAGACGCATGAATTTCGGAGTTCTTCATTGGTGAACTTATGACTCCTAGATTGAGCCAGAATTTTCTGTAACTAACCCGCTCGGCGAGAAATACCTTTGTATGGGCTCCTAGATTCCCCGTAAACCCATGGTATGCCAGAACGATAACTAAGTATGGAATCCTTTCTTCTTTGTTCCAGGTTATCCGCACGGTGCAGCTTTGAAGTTTTAGCGAGCAAACAAGGAATCTAGTGTAAGTCATTACAAAGACTTACTCATTATCGAATAATGCTACTGTATCCGGAGCACTCATAAGAGAGAAACACAATGACTTTTTCTCGCCAAAATCTTCAGCTTTTCCATCCAAGGGAAATAATTAGAGCTTATTTTAAATAATAAGCCGCTAATGTCAAATTAAAAGAGGAATAAAGGAACATTAAAAAGTAATCATTGCTCAGTGAATGTAGTTCTCATGCTATTATTCTTGCCTATGATTACAACAGAGTGCTCTGGATTTTGATCTAATAACTTGTCTTCTCAATCTTCAAAGAATTATTTTCTTCAATAAACATTTTGTGTCTCTTCTTCCTTCTCTATGGTACGCAGTTGAGCCACTCAGATTTGTCTGATTTAATCGACGGTTCTCTATGCTCGTGTTCGATGGTCGTATGATCGAATAATGCAATAAGTGTAAACGGATCTTGTACTTTATGCTGGCTACTAAACGGCGCGTAATTATTCGAACGCTGCGATAAACTATCTGCAAATTGTTGTCGACCCGCAGGATCTCAATCTATCTCACGTTGCTGTAATCAGCATTTGTTCATAACTGCAATGTTAGTCATTAAAACTAAGTCCAATTGTGTTATCAGCTATAAATACATTCATTTTCGTGATTTTCAAATCTCTTTTTTTCATATACAGAAACTTTAAAACTTCAAAGAAATGATAGCTAACTGAAAACACTAGTTTTTCCATCAAATCTTTTTTGCTACGTTTTTTTTTAATCATTGAAACCTTATGTGATTCTTGTTCGCTCCTCAAATATTCATAAAAATGTCTGCTGCTTATTCACATGATCGACGGGTTTGGAATTCTTAATCTTCCTGAAGCATTTCTTCTTTCAGGGATTCTATTTCTCTTTTCAAAGCTTAAATCACAATTCCCTCATGTAGTTCCTCCTAACGCTAAAAGACTCAAGAGATGTAGGAATTATTTTAATAAGGTCTTAGCTCTGATATTCTTGTAAAGGTTTCTACACTGAAAGTAAACCCGTCATTAACGCGCACCATATCTAAAGAGTGAGAGTTCAGAGTATAAGAGTCGAATCGATGACATTAAATTTAATGTCAAAATCTTTTTGTTTCATTTCTTAAAAGTTGGCGTTTTTTTCTTCTCATGGCTGCGCCTCTTCAAGGAGGTAACTTTTTGCAAAGCTGTTGAAGAGGGATTTTATGAAAAAAATTGATGTTTGGAATAAATATGTTTTTATCACCCTTTTACCTCGTGGTGTCTGGCATTTTTTATGTTCTTCTGTGTGGAAGTAATTTTATGTCAGGGGACTGAAATATACATCATGAAGGGAAATCTGCGTTCCAAAGATACATTATTACTATTTAGCCTGTCAAGTTTGGCACTACTTATGTTATATTCCTCTTACATTAATTGTGGAAATGGCTGTATGCTAGGGGACTAAATTAACTGTTAAAGAAGGAATCCTTTGCCAAAAAGAATCGTTTAGTGAGGTGCGACAATCTCCGTTCGCAGGAAAAACTTAAGGATATCGCTGAAGAAAAGAACAGATTGAATGCTATTTTGCTTTCTTTATTTACTTTAACCTTGGGCATTTCTGTATGTTTGCTCTCTCACCATTTAAAAACACACCAAAGCAAATATCATGCGGGTTTAAAATGAAAAATTCATTCCATAATTTTCAAGAAGTCTGGATCAGTGTTTAATGTTTGTATCGTAAAGTCAATAATAACTCTCTCTCTTTTGTATTCCTAACCAAAATGTAAAAAATTGAATCTGATGTTAATTTTTCCTCTCCTACTCAATGAGTTCCTGTTCAACTGTGATAAAAGTTAGACAATAAAATTATTAAAAACTTGAAAAAAATAAATAATTTATTTTACTTTTTATTTATGTTTTGGTTTTTTATCTCCACTCTTTCTTGGTGAGATACCTGATCTCTGGTTTTTAAGTTTGTAGTTTTTGGTATTTTCATCTCTACTGAATTACCTCATCTTTTGTGCCAGGTTGTGTTTCTCCCTTAATTCTTCGACCAAGACAAATCAATTGAATTTAGAATTAACGAAGAAAGAAAAAAATCCATATCTTGTCTTGATCAAATTTGAAGAAGTCTCCTCCTTGAACAAATTCAGAAATTGTCAAGGGGAAAAAATCATTAAAAATTTCAATTCCGAATTCCACCATGGAATTCAGTTAATAATGTCCATACTTTTCTTCTCTTCTTTTCTTTTCTCTTCTGTTTTATCCATTTCTTTACACCCTCAGTTACGGCTTATTCCATCATTTGTTTCAAAGGTGTATTTAATTTCACAATTCACTAAAAAATTCCCAAGCAATATAAGTTTTTACCTTAATCATCTTTCCTTTCATTTTCTTGAGATTGTGTCTGCACTGTACGTGTGAACTCTAGCTGTATTTGCGAGCCTTATCTAAAAATTTAGTAAAACGCATGTTCATTATATTATTTTATGGCTTTTGTTTGGGAGAATTGCTTATCCTGTCTTGGTCTTTCACCCTATTTTCTTGTGATGTGTGGTTCTGTATTCTCTCAATTCGCTACCAAAGAAAAATACTTTTTCTGATTATTTCCAATTACACCCTTCTTTATGCCTTTGAGTTTGAGTCCTACACAGAAAATTTTAACACCATGAAGTACTGGTTGTATGAAGTCGATTACTTTTGCATTTGTTATGATTTCTTTTTCTGTGTCTATCGTGTACTTGTAGTGATGCCCCTCCTTGACCTGCCACTTTTCGTCGTAAATTTCATAGCCTTAGCACCTATCATGAAGTTGCCCCATCACAGCTCTCGGATAAGTTTCTTCAACTTCTCCTATGTCATTATTTCCTTGTTTTTTTTATATATATATTTTTATGTAACCATTCTGTGTCCTCTTCTTTCATAGCACAGACATTTTGTTATTCTTTTCAACTTTTTTTCCTTTTGCCAAAATTGTCTTGGTTCGCTGTGATCACTTTGTTTATTCCTATTTTCTTCTTGTGGTCCACCCTCATTTCTTCTGTACAAGGAGAATTTTTCTATCGAACTTGTCTTTTTTTTCCTTTTGTATTCGATGCAGCCTCATGGTTGATCTGGCTAAGTCTCTTAATTGGCGGACTAAAACTATGGCTGTAATGACCCATCGGTCATCGAAGACTTTGCGTCGTATTACTTGGAGAGCACTCCAGCCACGTGGCATTTCGAATTTCGCGCGCTGCTCATGTTGGAACCGACTGCGCGCTGAGCTTGAGCAGTAGATATGGCGCGAAGCGATTGAACGCTGCCGCTGTAGCTTCAGGCGAGATTTTTCCTCAACTGCGCGTGCGTGTTATATGTCCGCAATCCTCAGTGGTTATGACCGAAAAAGGAAAGAAGGGGGGGGGGATGGGCTCTTGTGAAATGCTTAAATTATGAAGTTTCGGAATCACTGCTCTTGCGAAGAGCTCCGACCTCCATGATGCACGATTTTGAAAAAGCTGCTCTGAAGCGCTAGGTACAAGCATTTTAACCAGGAGTCCGAAAATGGTTAACAATTAATTATTACATCAATGAATCGATGCACATTCTTTTCGGTTCTTTCTGAAACGGAGTGGTCTCCCTCCCCTTTACGTTCGACACGAAACATTTCCGCATTAATCGCCAAGTTATAAAGTTTTTTAAGTCTTCCTAAAATTTTCAAACGATGTTTAAACTTCAAAATAGGCACAGTATCAAAGTTAGGAAAGCTGATCCCCTGAAAATTAAAGCGTAAAAAGTACTTAATTTGCACAAAAGAATGAGCGCAAAAACTTTTAAAAGGCATATGACGTTACCCCTAGTTTTGGTATAGTTCGCGCTACCAAACGCCAAAAGCACGGGTTTTTGTACGTCAAGTCACACCAGCTAGAACTCATAGGACAAGTAATCGCATCGTAAAGTCGCATTTTTTCCCACCTTGGAATTCTGATCTGATTATCAGATCGTGAAAGAAAGAAATCTGATTACTTTTTACATGGAGTTTCCTGCTCTGGAAGTGAAGTTTTCCTCCTCATTCATAGGAAAAATTTTAAGTAGCCAACACGCATTTTCGGAATCAAACCGACTTTTCAGCCCGGTTATAGTTGATGTCACTCGAGGTGTACAATATTTGTGAATTCTGCAAATTATTCGCCGTGGCCATTGAATTCTGTGCAAGTAATCCCTCTAACACTTTTAGTTGTAGACTGAATGTTTGACGCATGTGTGCTTCTTTAAAGCGATCAATAAGTCTAAAGGATAAAATCATGGAATCGGAAAATTCAATAAGGCTGGAAACCATGGGCTGAAGCTGATTTCTGGTGTTATCGCAGTTTGGTCGGGCAGATCGCGAAAGGTCGAAGGAATGGGACTGTTGCAAACTTTTGCTAGAGCAAAAATAAGAGTTGTTTCTTATAGATAATGCCTCAAAAATCACGATGAGCTCATCGGCAAAGTCTGAAATGCACTCATAACTTCACAGTCTGCGTAAGAAATTTGCGGTTTTTTGAGGTTCCCGCTTCAAAAGCGATACTACGACACAGGTGAACATTTTGTAAGAGGAGTCGTTCCATCGTCGGCAATACTCATCATGGCCGACGCCAATCCGCCAAAACTCGTGTGATGGGACGAGATAATACCTGAATTGGATTAGACCAGATAACAATCGGCGTGTTTTAACGTTCATGTTTTCCACGCCCGAATTGATTGACCTTGAACTCTCCTCGAATTACGCGCGGAACTGCGCGCAAGCGTCGGCCATGATGAATATCGCCGACGATGGAGCGACTCCTCTAACAAAATGTTCACCTGTGCCGTAGTATCGTTTTTGAAGCGGGAAGCTTAAAAAAACGCAAATTTCTTACGCAGATTGTGAAGTTATGAGTGCATTTCAGACTTTGCCGATGCGCTCATCGTGATTTTTGAGGCATTATCTATAAGAAACAACTCTAATTTTTGCTCTAGCAAAAGTTTGCAACAGGCCCATTCTGAGGTAGTTCCGAAACC